CTTATCGTCATAAACAGTCCCCACACTCCGGACTGCTCGCATTTACTACTTCCTTCATATCACTTCCTACGTCACGGACCTGTTTCCCTCTATTCCCATAGCATTTTATGATTGCCTTTACTACTTCCTTCACTACTTCCTACGTCACGGACCTGTTTCCTTCCCTTCCCATAGCATTTTAGGATTGCAGATACCTTAATGTATTCGTCATAAACAGATCCTAGACTTCGCACTGCTACCCTTGACTACAATGTATCGAGTAATCTTAAGTATAATCTTTGCTCAATATTAACAAGTGATGTTTTTCCTTTTGTACTGTATTTGTAATTTCCTAGTATACTGTGGGTAGTTGGCTTATTATGAACACATGCTAAAACTTCAAATCTTTTGTTTACTTTTTACTTGTTATTTAATTCAGCCAACATGGTTACCTAGCAACCCATAAGACTAATGTTAAGAAAATGTGATTTTCAGTTTCATTTTTCTACGGATTCCTGAGAGACTTTTTTAACGCCATATAGATGTTGGCACTCACCGATATGGTCTTTATCACCATGCAAAATTTGAAAACGATTGATTCAGCCGTCTAGGAGGAGTTTGCGTATTACGAAATGCATAAAAGTCGACGTATAAGAGCTTCGCTCGCTTCGCTCGCTCCGCTCAAAAAGAAACTCAAGAATAACATTTCTTTCAAAATACCTTGTTTTTTTAGTTATTCACCATTTTATTTTTGTATTTACGATTTACATCTTAAATGATATTAAAATATTCTTTATGGAATTCGGTAGGTATACAACTCCAACCAAAGATTGAAAAACGATTTGCAAAAAAAAAATATATATTTTATTAATTCTCTTGAGAGCTAATCTATTTAGTATTAGTACCGGGGACGAGCCATGGCTTGGTATAGTTTATTTCTACGGTAAAAGCAATATAAAGGGGAAACTTCAGCATAAGCAATGAGCATACTCTGTAAAATACTCTCGTATGAGGGATTATCTAAAGACAGATAAGTCCGATTCAAGCGTATATTGTTTACTATAAAATTTATTGTAATACAATTTTAATACGGGTTCCACTGAATACGGCTGGCAAAATTATGTAAACTATAAAAAAGAGTGCATATAAATTGATTGAAAAATCTACCCTTTAATAAGAGTGAAACATTGAGTCGACGCCAGTGCACTCAAACGTCATCAACACGAAACACTCATCAACACTTGCTCTATTTCCCCCTATATCGAGTAATCTTTAGTGTAATCTTTGCTCAATAGTTACAACTGATGTTTTTCACTTTGTACTGTATTTTGTAATTTGCTAGTATACTGTGGATGGTTTATAAAACACATTTACATGTCTTTCGTTTACTTACTTGTTAATTTGTTCAACCAACATAGTTTCTTGGCAACCCATAAGGCCAGGGTTAAATATTTTATATTTTCAAATGAATTGTGTAGCAAAATAATAAAATATGAATTTTCCTGAGGTAGTGCCTGTTGCCAATCACATTTTTAGGGCTAAGTTATACGTCCCTAATTCCAATTGTTTTCAATTTTTTCCGCTGGATTTCAAGATGTATTACATTTTACAGAGAGACAGACAGACAAACAGGCATATAGATCTATTAGAGTATAGTCCCTAATTCCAAAATTATTTCAAAATCCTACCGCTGGACTTAAAGATATATATTACAGACAGACAAACAAACAGACATAGCTCGTATTACAGTATATAGGATTGAATATCAATTTCCAATAAAAATCCGTTTCCACTTTTATAATAATATGATTTTAAAGGGATTCGTACTACACTTCAGCTTATTCTTCGTCTATAAGTTGAAGGATATAAGTACACCAAACACAATAGTATGTTCTTTTTTTCATTCAAAAATGTTTAGGCCAAACTTGAACAGCTAATTTCAATCGCTCCGAAATTAAAGATACGACCAAATAAATAAATTCAAAACATTTACACTACACTTTTCAAAGATGATTTGGAGGTGGCCCCTGCCCACCCCTTTAAGACGCCCCTGAAATTACCCAACCAGCCTAATTTAACCCCATCATTCGAATAAACCTCCATACCTTACCTCAACCAAGAGGACCAATGAGATGCCAGTAGCCTACGTCATCATGTTACTTCTGGCTTCCCTCCCAAATCGTTGATACATGAGGACACCTGTGTTATATTCAATTTTTTGCCGCAATGTTACTTTTACTATGACTAAGACAAATGTATCGGGAAAACTGCTGCTTATTCCCTTTAACAAACAGTAAAGTGTACACTGAAGACTTTAACCTGAAATAATATTCATTTAGGATTAGGGTAGTCTATATCAAACGTCACAAACATCAAACCAGAGAGTTAATATTTTAACAGAGTACCTATGAAAAATGTACTTGAAACTAAAATGAAATGACTTTATTCGCTTTTAACATGAAAAACATGCATTGCAATCGTCAATGTTATAGTCACTTATCAAAGCAAACCATGCAAAAATACAGATTTGAGTACAAAACCATGCGTTCTACTCTACAAAGTTCTACTCACTCACACAATAGGCATACATTTTTTAAATCGGAATCCTCAAGGCTGGCTAAACATATAGCCAAAAATGAAATAGTTATTTGTGCAACTATAATGAGCAAAGGGAGAATTGACTCACTCGAGAGAAATACTTACTCACGAGCCGTAGGCGAGTGAGGAATGTTTTCTCGAGTGAGGTAATTGCACTTTGCACTCGAGTTGCACATTATATTTTTCATACAGTTACCATAAAACAAATAAATTGGTAAAGAAACGTGACATATTTTTACACAGAAGTGATCTTTTAATATTATATTTTTAATGATAACATTACAACAGCTGACCAGCTGATTTACAGCCAGTGCTGCCAACGTATTTCGCGCGCATACGACCTTGTCTGCATGTTATGCGCTCACTATTTCGTGCCTTCACGTTGCAAATCTGGAGTGAGTGAGACAAAGTAATTAGAATGAGACAATGTTAACATTGTCTCACTGATGAGCGAATTGGCCACTTAGCTTTCTCAAATCAGTGAGAGAACATGTACATTGTTAGGTAACTGTAGGAAAAATAAATTACCTTTCAGTTCTTTTATTGTCTTTGGTAATTTATTGAAAAATATTGCTCCCTTGAGCAGTACATACAGGGTGGCTGAAAAGTAACTTGCACCCCCCCCCCCTTAACTTTTCAACCATTTGAGAAATTTGAAATCGGTTTGCGGCAACCTTCTTAGATATGAGGGGCTACAATTAATTATGGTCAATTTTGAAAATTTTGCCTTTAGGGGTAGTGGTAGTAGGGGGTAGCTCAACATTTTCAAATGACAAGTATAGTCGAGTTTGGTATCATTTTACAGGTCTTGACGAAACATAAACATTGACATAAATAAAACCAAAATCGGCTCACTAATAACGAAATGGCACCCTAAAACGTTTCAAATCCAAATAACCATGAGGGTGGCAAAAAAAATTAACTTGCACCCTCTTTAATTTTTAACTATTCGAGATATTCGAAATTGGTTTGCGGCAACTCGTTTGGATATGAAGAGCGACAATAATTATGGTAAGTTTTGAAAATTTTTCCCTTAGGGGTAGCGGGGGTAGGGGGTAGCTCAAAATTTTCAAACAGCAAGTATAGTTGAGTTTGGTATCATTTTGTAGGTCTTGACAAAACATAACAATTAACATAAAGAAAATAGAAATCGGACCATTAATAACAAAATGGCAGTTCAAAATTACTTAAAATAACTATTGTCTCAATCATTTTTAGCTGCCATTTTGTTATTAATGGTCCGATTTGATTTCTATTTTCTTTATGTTAGTTGTTATGTTTTGTCAAGACCTACAAAATGATACCAAACTTGACTATACTTACTGTTTGAAAATTTTGAGCTACCCCCTACCCCCGCTACCCCTAAGGGCAAAATTTTCAAAACTGACCATAATAATTGTCGCCCTTCATATTCAAACAAGTTGCCGCAAACCGATTTCAAATATCTCGAATAGTTAAAAAGTTAAAAAGGGTGCAAGTTAATTTTTCTGCCACCCTCATGGTTATTTGGATTTTAAACGTTTTAGGGCGCCATTTCGTTATTAGTGAGCCGATTTTGGTTTTCTTTATGTCAATGTTTATGTTTTGTCAAGACCTATAAAATGATACCAAAATCGACTATACTTGTCTTTTGAAAATTTTGAGCTACCCCCTACCCCCGCTACCCCTAAGGGAAAATTTTTCAAAATTGACCATAATTATTGTAGTCCCTCATATCTAAGAAGGTTGCCGCAAACCGATTTCAAATATCTCAAATGGTTGAAAAGCAAAGGGGGGTGCAAGTTACTTTTCAGCCACCCTGTATATATTGCTTGTCATATATATATTACCCCATATAAATCAATGGCGCAAGTAAAATTTTTAAGGTAAAATCAGTATATTACACTGAAATATTTAAAATTATAACCATCAATGTACCACTCTTAAAACAAATTATTATTTTATTTCTTATAATCAATGAGTGTTCCATTGTATTTATTTATTTAGATTTCCGGCAGTAAACCCTTGTTTCCTGTTTCTAGTTCATCGAGAAAAAAAAACAAAAAAACAGATCCAATCAGATTCAGATTTTCAAACGAACGAAACGAACTTCAACTTCAACTTCAACTAATTTGTTAATAGTTAACTATTCTATTTGCGCGGCATGATGAACGTAAAGAACGATATGCATATGCAATTCAATACAATACGAATAATTAATTAATTATCACGAATTTTTGTTGGTTTGTTTCGTTTCGAGAGTTTGATATCCGACTGTCGAGTGTTAGAACAAGCAGAAGTTTATGTTGAGTAGGCCTATAACTTAATTTTCATTAGTTTTCAGTCAGTCTGACATTGATTTTCCTGTGCAAACAAGAGTATGCTTGCCCTAGCCTCTCCTTGTTTAGGAATCGTAAGGACTTTCTGAAATTGGAGCTACAGAAATTAAATAGGCCCTAGCCTAGGCTATTACTTTTGTGGTAAGTATTGTGTCACCTATTTTGCCATTTTGGTAATTATATCGACCTCCGGACCTCACGCGAAATTAAAAATTTTTTTTTCCAAAATGGTCGAAATTTCACGCTGATTTCAAAAATGATTGTCGTTTTTTGCGGAAACGTCCCGTTTTCCCGGAAAATGGGAAAAACGGGAAAATTGTTTTTTGCTCAAAACCCATGTTGTGGGTACTCAAATTGTGCAGAATTTCCTCCTGAACAAGAATATGTAATTTTTATTACGATCGGACCACTATTAAGTAAAATATCACCAGAAAAGTGGGCCATATTTAAATAACAAAGGTTAGGTCAGGTTACTTTAGGTTAGGTTAGGTTACTTTAGGTTAGGTTAGGTTAGTTTAGGTTAGGTTAGGTTAGTTAAAGTAACCTAAGTTGTTATGTTAGGTTAGTTTAGGTTAGGTTAAGTTTGGTTAGGTTAGGTAAGGTTAAGTTAGGTTAGGTAAGGTTAGGTTAGGTTAAGTTAGGTTTGGTTAGGTTAGGTTTGGTTGGGTTAGTTTACATAGTTACAATACTCATGTTATTGATAAACTAATCTAACCTAACCTAACCTAACCTAAAGTAACCTAACCTAACCTAAAGTAACCTAACCTAACCTAAAGTAACCTAACCTAAGTTGTTAGGTTAGGTTGGGTTAGGTTAGGTTAAGTTAGGTTAGGTTCGGTTGGGTTAGTTTACATAGTTACAATACTCATGTTATTGATAAACTAACCTAACCTTACCTAACCTAAAGTAACCTAACCTAACCTCTAACCTAACCTAACCTAACCTAACCTTACCCAACCTAACCTAACAACTTAGGTTAGGTTACTTTAGGTTAGGTTAAGTTTGGTTAGGTTAAGTTTGGTTAGGTTAGGTAAGGTTAAGTTAGGTTAGGTTAGGTAAGGTTAAGTTAGGTTAGGTAAGGTTAGGTTAGGTTAAGTTAGGTTAGGTTAGGTTTGGTTGGGTTAGTTTACATAGTTACAATACTCATGTTATTGATAAACTAACCTAACCTAACCTAACCTAACCTAAAGTAACCTAACCTAACCTAAAGTAACCTAACCTAAAGTAACCTAACCTATGTTGTTAGGTTAGGTTAGGTTAGGTTGGGTTAGGTTAGGTTAAGTTAGGTTGGGTTCGGTTGGGTTAGTTTACATAGTTACAATACTCATGTTATTGATAAACTAACCTAACCTTACCTAACCTAAAGTAACCTAACCTAACCTCTAACCTAACCTAACCTAACATAACCTAACCTAAACTAACCTAACCTAACCTAAAATAACCTAACCTAACCTAAAGTAACCTAACCTAACCTAAAGTAACCTGACCTAACCTTTGTTATTTAAATATGGCCCACTTTTCTGGTGATATTTTACTTAATAGTGGTCCGATCGTAATAAAAATTACATATTCTTGTTCAGGAGGAAATTCTGCACAATTTGAGTACCCACAACATGGGTTTTGAGCAAAAAAAAAATTTCCCGTTTTTCCCATTTTCCGGGAAAACGGGACGTTTCCGCAAAAAACGACAATCATTTTTGAAATCAGCGTGAAATTTCGACCATTTTGAAAAAAAAAAATTTTAATTTCGCGTGAGGTCCGGAGGTCGATATAATTACCGCCATTTTCACCTAAGTAGGGCCTATAGGCCTAAAGACAGCCTATAACATAAGACCTACCGGTATAGGCCTAAGTTAAGTTAACTTAGCCCAATAGGGTAGACTTCCGTAGGCTATCTGTTGTAAAAAACAACCGAAGAAAATATGTTATCCATTATTCGATTGTTTCATCATTCGATATATCAATTGGTTACATAGTTCGATCAATATTTTTATTCGGTTGTTTTTGACAACAGATACGGAAGTCTTACCCGTCCAATATGCTAAATTCTATACTATTAAACAAGTTGTCTAACTGGAGAGATTTTTGTGTTCAGGTAAGTAGTATGGACTTAAGTTAGTCTGTACCGTAGAGATAGGCTTTGAAACCTAGGCCACCCAACATAAATGAGTAAACTTAGGCCTATAGAGAGGCTACCCTACTTAAAATATAGCTTACAGTCAACGATTAAGTTAAATTCTGCTTCATAAGTCACTTGGCATCATCTAGGGCCTAGGCCTAACTTAAGCTTACTCACTATTATTAACTTCAGGTAATATTTACTAACTGGGTAACTTATTGTTGGCCTGCTTCATTAAGATGTAACTGGTAGTGTATTGAATAGTCTCACTGCCAAAACTGGGAAGCTTTTCAACGATTTAGCAAAGTGTGCATCTTGGTACCGTACATCTAGATCGATAGCTCAGCCACTATTTTTGTGCTGATGTAGGGCCTACTGCACTACGCTGTATAAAACAACAATGCCTCTGAGGGTAGGCCTACCTGTACTTCATGGTAAATTACCGTACTTACTATCTTGCTTTATTTTCCACATTTTTAGTGGAATTTTGTTCGAATAGGCCTAAGTTTCCTACTCAGGTTATTCAGTTTTTCAATTGTCTTCTGAATTTTAAATTTCTCTTCTTCCAGTTGAAAATTTTAAACCATGAGTGTGCAACCTCCCAGATACACAAGTACTCCTCGTGCTGGTCGAGACACCGCCAATGCTCTACAAAACTTCAATGATGTCTCTCCAATATTCTCTACGGAAATTGTGAGAAAAGTGAAATCATCAATCCCGATTTTGTCATATAATAGGTGAGTGTTTCAAAAAAAAAAAACAAGACATTTTTTGTAGGTTTGTAGCCTACTACAAAGATAAAATTTTCCAATTTTTCTCAGAAATTATTTAACATGCCTACCTTTCATAGGCGTAATTTGTCCCTTCTAAGTTGAGTAGCCTAAGTAAGCACTTACGGTACTCTAGTGATGTGATGGGTCAAAGTACTCTACCGGCTCGAGTAGCCTAAATTTGACTCGATAGGCTACTGTTACTACTAGAGTCAGTACTCGAGTACTGGACTCAATTCTTACCTGTAAGTTATAGCAATGAAAATCTGTTGATTCGCAGCGGCAAATTCCAGAAATGAATCTTGTCTAGAGTCGCTGAAATTGATCTGAGTCACAACCCGTGTAGTACCAGACGGACTCTGGCTCGTTTTATAGTACTAGGCCTATTTATGGATTTGAGATAAGAGTCATGGATCGGTTTATTCATTAGGTTGGGTTGATATTTATAGCATTTAAGTTATGTATGATATATTTTATATTTAATTCTTGACTCGAGTAAGCCAATTACTTGGTCGAGCGCTATCTACTCATGGCAGATGGCTTTGGAACTACCGGTACATCTAGCAGTCAACAGTGTACAAACTGTAAAGCAAGCGAGCGTTGTCGACTCTTAGCGATTGTTCTAGTAGGCAGATAAACTTAAGTTTATGAGTAATAGTACGGTACTCAAGTATCGCAGATAGGTATCGAGTGGACTCGATACTTACTGAGTCAAGTACTCGACTCATCACATCACTCTGAGCTTAGTCTTCAAACGCCTTCAAATCGGGTTACTTCAGAATTTTGAGGCTGAATAGGCGAAGAATTAGACAAACAGTAGAACTAATCACCGACCATGGATGTTTTGAAAAACATCTGCAATGTAAGAGTTATATGATGGCGTACCACTCTGTAGAAAATGCGGTAGGAAACAGCCAATCACCTGCTCTTTGACTGTGAAGAGCTCTTTGAGGGAAGAAGGACATCTCTTGGTTATCTGCTAAGAGGGAGTCTACAGGCATTTATCTGGTCCTTGGATGTTTAAGGTCTTTCAATGAAACAACTTAGTGGAGTGCGCAATAAATTGACGAAGTGTGGCTTTTGGCCCGGCTCTGCAAAATAAGATAAGATAGGTGGAATTTGTCTATCTTTTTTGACGTCCATGTAATGCCGATATATAATCCATACTCTGTGTATTTTAGGTCAAATGGACCGGTTAGCTCCAGTGGTGCAAAGTCCCAAGTATCAACATCTAGTAACACTAGCACTGGTAAGAATAATTGTTCACTTTCATATTATTTGTCATACTATACTGTCAATATTTTACCAAAAACTTTTTCCTCCCCTTTATCAGCAAACCTAATTAGGTAGCCCTACTTGTAAAACCTGGGTATGCCCCTGTCTGAGATGTTTTAGTATATTTTTATTATTTTTAACAATGTTTATGTCTTGGTGTGTGAGTAGTTACTTCCTTTTGCAGTGAAGTAATGAAAGGATAAGAGGTTAAAGATAAGAGATGTGCAAGTGTGGCTTCATTTACAAACCGTGAAAGCATCAAGTTAGAATTCAAGTAGAGTCGAGATTCCCGTAACATTGCATTCACAAAAAATCGCAGACATTTTGCAATCCAAAATTAACAATAATTTTGCAATTGCAAGGGATGTTCTTTTTTTTGCCAGAATCGCAGGATACTAAGATAGTGATTAAAAACCATTAACCAAGCAAAATTTGCATGATTTCACCTTGATCGCTTTGTCATGAATATATTTTTTTTTTTTTTCATTTTCTCCATTGCATTCCACTATTATACATGCAATGACAGCCATGCAACCACCCATAACACAACCAAGTATGCCACAAATATGCTGTCAGGAACTAGCTTATTGTTGGTTTGTTATAGTTAATAGTTAGGGGTGGCACTACCCATCTTCCATCTTGTTACAAAATTGGTCCGTTTAGTGAGTCCACTGTCTGTGCTTCAATAGGTTATCATGTTTGTATATTAGCTAATCCCCCGTATTTTTTTTCCAAATTTGGCTGTATTGTAATCCTGATTCTCAGTAGGTATTTAAAATTGTTTAGGACGGCCGAGATCATGTCCAAGTACAGCATCAGGCAAGAAAACATTTGAGATCAAGACTCAAGCAAAAGGTTTGAGCTTTACATTTTTTTCTCAAATTAATTAGGATTTTAATCTTAAATTGAGTATGAAATCGTACCTTTACAAGTTTACTGTGAATTGCATAATGAACTGTAGTTTCCATCAACAATCAAAGAACCGTGACAAATACAACCAACCTTGTACAAACATGGTTTTTTATACGAAGACATTCACTAGGGGGGTGGTCATTCACTAGTGCACACACCCTGTAAGTTCTTTAAAAAAGTAGGATGAGAAAGATGTTCCTGCAACACTGGTCCTAATATGTTGAATGATTTTATATGCAAATCTTTGTTAGCAGCTCACAAACAGTTTTTTGTTTTGTTTTGTTACCGTAGCGAATTTCTCCTTAGGGAAGAGGGTTTTACCATAGGTAGAATAGCTACTAGACTCGGGACAGTTTGAATCTCTTATTTTGATATCCATAGAGGCCAATATTTGTTGGAATGTTATTTGTGTATTCAATTGGTATACAAGTCTGTAAAGTGACAACCCAAGCAATTTATTGTAATCTGGTTTTTTTAGTTCACCTTGTGATTAACTTGCTGTCATGTTGTGTGTGAACGCTGAGCTTTTGCCAGATTATTTACATACACTTTTTGTTGTAACGGAGTTCCAAGGAAACGTTTCAAAAGTGTTTAAAAATGTATCGAGAATCTAAGTTAGAATCTAAATGGCAATTTATCTTAAAGATTTGTGGGGAATGAAATTCCAAACTAGTTCAACTTGTTTTCTCGTAAATACATTGATGGATAATGCACAATATTTTAAGGGCAGGCAGGGAAAATAAATTTACGTTTTTACCCCCCAATGTTACTAGTAAAGAGACAACTGTTAACAAGGGGCTTGTGACGGATTGAAATTGAAACTTAGCTTTGATGGTTTTGACAAATCACTAATAAAGGTATTTATTTTTTCAGTTCCTACGAAAAGCGTTATTCCAGCTAAGCCACAAACACCTAAGGGGCCGAGCATGGAATCTAGAAACAGTGTTGATAAAGGTGGGTTTGACATTTGTTTTTCATAAGTATTTGGACAACTAGCTCAATAACTGGCATCGGCATGTATTGCTTACGTTTTTCATTATATAACACTCTTTGTTTTCTGAATATTGGTTCAAATTAACATTATCCACCCCTTACTTTTCCCATGTATTGTGATTACTAATTTTTGTCATTTTGTATTGTAATTTGTGTTGAGATGTACAGGAGAAGAAACAATTTCTCGTTCAACACAATGTGTTATTAAAATGTTTACCATGCAATAGCCTATTACGATTCTAACTCATGTCATATCAAGTAAAATATTACACATTTTTTGCTGTTGAATTTAGACTATTGTATTAATACGTTGCTGCTGTTGTTGTTGATTATTTGTAGTATTTGTATCACATCTTGCTTTGACTTTTATTGTTATTTCTTGGTAATGTTTCAATGTAATGGGTTTCCCGTTGGAATAAATAAATAAATAAATAAAATTGTTGCCCTAACCTTTGTTTTGAACATTTTGACTAAATGTTAACACCTAAAGCCCACACATTAATCTGTTGTACACAAACTTTAAGGTTAACAGAAAACCCAATAAGAATCATGGTGGAAGTAAATAAGGTGTGCTACTGCGCATCGTAGCCGGCTGCAGGCGGTGCGGGGGAGGGGTATCGTGACGTCACCTTGGGGGCAAACATGCCTCGCGACCATATCGAGCAGTGACGCCGCTCTAATAAAATTGTAATTTTTAATAGTAAGAACCGATAAAAATTCCTGAAACTTTGCATAGTCTTTGACTATTAACATAGGATGCTTATGATTTAAATTTTATTAATTTATTTGAATTAAAAACCATTCAACCACCCATCAAACTTCAAACTTTTTCATACTAACACAAAAAAGTTAGTCGGCTATACCTCTCGCCACCCTAAGTTGAGGCAGCCCAGACGGACGGGCAGGGTCATTATCGGCCGGTCCCGCCCGACCCTTTATAATCCGATTAGTGGCACTTCCGTGAACGCTCTAGTTCCATAATTGTCATTAACAAAGTTAAAAACCGATGTATAAACATAGTCTTTTACATTAATAACTAGGGGTCTGCGGGTCCCCGATTTTTTCGGATCGGGTCGGGCCAGCGGAAGGCCTGAGAGACCGGGTCGGGTCAGAGATTTTTTCGGGCCAAGATCGGGTCGGGCCAAAAAAAAAATATTATTTTCAAAGTTATAATAAGTAATTTTCAAAGAAACACTCTTATATATATTATTACAGAGGAATTAAAACGTTAAAATTATAATTAAATATTAAGTTTGCTCACGTTTAAGAACAAAGACACAACAGAGCAAATGCCGTACTGTCACTAGCCAGAGCCGAGAGCCAGTCGTCTACTGAGTCACTGACAAAACAAAAGCCGTGACGCAACAGTGCAAAGAAAACGAAGTCAAAAGAAAGACTATTTATCCAGAGGTACCAGTTTAATTATTTATTGTTTATTCCATACCTAGTTTAAAATATATTTTAGTATTTTATTTACATAATAAATTATAAACAAAAGAAATATCTGATATAGTGTACAGATCTGTATCTTGTTCTTTTATTTTCCTGTGTCCTTTTTGTCATTCAGTAACAAAACAAAACAACACTTCTGATCGTCTGGTTCGGCATTGTATGGTCACCATTTAATTTTTTTTTAAGTATCAAGTATCAGCAAGTCTACAAAGAGGTTAGGCCTAAATATTTTATAATTTTATGAAAGTTTTTATCAGTAAAATTATTTTTTTCTTAAGTTAGATTGAGTTTCAAAAAAGATATTTCTAAGATCCAATACAATATTTACAAGACACAAACTACCATGAATTAATTTCTTTGGAAATTATCTGTAACAGTTTTATATTTTTGAATAAAGAAAATATATCTTTTTGTCTCTACTTCCTTGTTTTGTTACTTGCATTTTGTCAGCAATTGGAACAATCGGGTGGTGTAATAGGGGTGGGGGAGGGGGAGGGTCTATGACCTTGAGTGTCCCCGGGCCTGGCTCTGGTTGTGTAAGAGGGGCGGGGAGGGGAGGGGGAGGGTCTGTAACCTTGTGTCCCGGGCCCGGCTGTGAGAGTGATTCATGGTTTTTTGTTTACATTCTACTACCCTTCCCCCTTCCTTCCGAGAAAAAGACCCTACAGTTTCAAAAACATCGACTTACAGTATAAAAACATTGAGTTGTGTTGCTAATTAGGACACTATAATGTCTCTGCTGTCTGCTTATGTTGCCAAATTAGCATTTAACTTTCTTTTCTCTTGATTTAATATAATTTTCTATATATTAAGAGTTTCTTTTCAGGTACCTAATAATTGTGATATTGTTTGACTTGAGTTTATGGATTTTTAATTCTTTTCATTTATTAGCTAAAATCAGTTGTTTTAGGATTTTAATCTCTTGCATTACCGTAGGTCTATAACTGTGTATGACATGATATATGCAATTTTTACAGTCTTTACTATAACTAACTATACCATAAACAATGTATGTGTGTTATTTACTGTTTTAGAGTTTTTAAAGTGAATTAGTTTACACAAAATCTTTTCTTCAATGAGTTCTCCACTTGTCATGTTGCTTAGTCTATTACTATTTTAGGCCCTATAAAAAATAATTCCTATGTAAAGCTGTAGGCCTAGTAATGCCAATAATAAATAATTCTTTATTTATGATGATGTAACTAATAATGCTATTGTAAGTGTGAGGTTTTTATACTTAGGAGGTTAGGAGGCAGGGAATGAATGATTCATATTGCATGGTGGAAACATAGAATTTTTATTTTCTTCTTGCTTGCAGTCTTTAAGCCAGTCCACAGGCCCTAAACTTGAGATAAGGTTAATTGATTTGTTTATGATCCTTTTATATTAAGTTCCATTACAAACTTGTTGTAATATAGCTGTTTAGATATTTCAACAGTTATAAAAATGGGAAAGAATGGCTTGATAAAAAAAATTATTTTCTTCTTTCTTGCAGTTGAGGCAACTCCTAAGCTGTAAATAAGTTATGAACATGAAATAATATACATAAATACAATTGTTTTTCATATGTTATTTTTAAGTAATATTATAAACACAGATAGGAGTTAAAAAAAGAAAAAAAAATCTGGTAATTAATAATTTTTGGCCCGACCCGATTTTGGCCCGAAACCCGAGGACCAAAATTATCGGCCCGACCCGACCCGACCCGAACCAAAAAAGTCTGACCCGCAGACCCCTATTAATAACGTCGATTTAACAAACATTTCCGTTTTTGTCCCATCAAAATCGGACAATGTTTACGGTTTGTGAGCTAAACAAAGTAGTGTAGATCCCAAAATCCAAAAACCGTAAACATTGTCCGATTTTGATGGGACGAAAACGGAAATGTTTGTTAAATCGACGTTATTAATGTAAAAGACTAAATTTATACATTGGTTTTTAACTTTGTTAATGACAATTATGGAACTAGAGCGTTCACGGAAGTGTCACTAATCGGATTATAAAGGGTCGGGCGGGACCGGCCGATAATGACCCTGCCCGTCCGTCTGGGCTGCCTCAACTTAGGGTGGCGAGAGGTATACCAAATCACGTATTATTTGGTCAGGTTTATGAGACCTGCGGGAAAGTTTTAGGGAAAGGTTCTAATTTAACTGTAGTGTCAGTTGGATTTTGATAAAAGAATTACTTTTTTAGCTACGGAGAATTAGGCTATATCAAGCGGCAACGGAGCGCACGCTCAGCCGATGCCACCGTTTATTGGATAATAAGGCCACGCATTTATTATCCAAAACACTGTAGCTACATGTTATAAGGATATACATTGTATTCTACATTTTAAATGAAATATGTAAAATTAACTCTCTTTGATAACTGTTGTCATAAAATTTGTAGGATCGGGAATGAATAACATTTCCTTAACCAAAAACATAGTTTATTACATTTTGCAATCTTATAAAAATATTTACGACCTGAAAGTAAACATCTAAAAAATTAAACATTTCATCATCTCTGGATTTTTCTAAACGTTTTTAAGTTTCTTTAGACATTTTCTTTTTTTGCCACTAGCAAAATTGCATTGTCTTAGCCTCCTATTGATTTGTTGAGGGAAACTAAAATATCGCACGTTTGGTTGCGTTTTCTTATTTTTCGAACTACAGTATTACAACAACCGTACACTGCATAATGGGGCATTTTTGTAGAAAGATGTGTGCCCTGTGGAAAACTGACATCTACTGCAACTCGCGGTGAACACAGAAACGAAAACAAAACAAACAACACGTGATCATCCCCCGCACACACCCCCGCACCCGAGCCAAAGTTGCGACATAGATAACAACCCCAGTGAAACAGGATCCTAGCTGTCGAATTAAACTGGAATATCACATTTTATTATCATGGTATTGCAAGAGTGAAACAATTTTATATTTTAACCTGATTATAAATACAATGTTTAATCACCAACTTATTTTTTTAACAGAGTACATTTTATTTTATATACTACGTTAAATACATTCCTTTGCGTTAAAGATCATTTATTATTTAAACCACTATTTGCAAACTTTGGTTTTAACTAATCAACAACGATTTGCAATACTTAAAATGCAATTTGGCAACGTTGACCCTATTCACCGAGGAGACAATATATTATCTAGCAAAAAACCACTAAGTGGTAACACTTTCCCCGCCAAGTCAGCAATCCAAAAAAGTTAATAAATCATTACTTTTTCCGCCAAGAAAAACAATGTAATGTATGTAAGTTTGGCAACTTGGCGGCAGACTTTTGCTTGGTTTTTTTCATTTAAGTTACGTTCGTGGATAATTTCACAAATCAACTTCTCTAATTAAATAGTCCAACTAAGTATAATTTATGAAATGTGGCACAAATAAGGTCAAATTTTGTAAAATAAGCTCTCACCTAGCAATGTACCAATGGGAGGGATACTTGCTCAATGAAACTAGTTTTATGGTATTTTTTAAAGGGATCGAGCAAAAGTCTGCCGCCAAGTTGCCAAACTTACATACATTACATTGTTTTTCTTGGCGGAAAAAGTAATGATTTATTAACTTTTTTGGATTGCTGACTTGGCGGGGAAAGTGTTACCACTTAGTGGTTTTTTGTTAGATTTTATTTATTTTTGTAGAAAATTAACAGTTAAAATAAAAATCCTCTTTTCTCTGATATATAGACCACGGCACAACTACATCTCATTTAATTTCAATAATATTGTTAATGTAGAACTAAATTCTACATTTTTGGTCTTATCTGCTTTAAACAGATTAAAAACTTTTTGACACACGTACCAAAATTACTATTTAACAAACCCACTGGGCTTAAACTCAGTTTCAAATTTCATCAATGCTCATCTTGAACAACATAAAATGTGTTGATGTTACATAAGTGTTCTAATAATTAAACCCGTATATCTAAAGACTAGTGTAAATTGAGCCCTTATTAGAGATGTAAAAATGTAATCAAACTAATTAGGTTTGTTAGAAATAGCATAAGGCAAAACAAATATTGAATAACTCATTTATCCTACATTTACATATCACTTTTTAATTGCTTGTTTAACATATGTAGAGTGATTTTCCCGATCGTTTTATTTGTTTTAGTGTATCAAAACATAGAACAAACCTTAGTACTAGCGTACTAGTACTAAGTTTCAAGTTCCTAGGTTTCATATGTTTTGATAAGTAGTATTAAACTGTTAAAAATGACGAGCTGCTGTACCAGTGTACCATCGGTACACTGCATTTTTCAATGGAAAGTATCGGGGAATATCACTGCTCTAAGTAATTTTATATAGTAAGTAGTTCAAATCATTCAGTATACCTGAAAAAAATACTTTATAAAAGTATTAAAATAATTTTTCAGCTGTTCCTATGAATTTATCTAACATTTAATTAATTAAGATTTAATCGCAGCTGGTCCTTCTTTTGTTTTGATTTTAATCCCATGTTATTTAAATGGGCCAAACTCGTACTTTGAGGGCTTGCCAAGGGTTTATGGGTCAACGCACCGACTTGAGACCCTCAAAAGGCACATCTACACGCTAAGGGCTTTCAAACAACATAAAAAACATTAAAATCGAGCCAGTGGTTTGGGCTGTAGGTCCGTCAACATTTAAGGAGAAGAAGGAGAACACGGAAAATTTGTGAATTTTCAAACTAGTTTTTCTTGGCTCAAACACAACCGTTTTTTAAATTCTTTTTTTAATTTTGTTGAGAATGATTGCCCCTATCCAGTAGATGAACAATTATTTTAATAGCTTTTGTTTCTTCAGAGCTATAGACGAGTAAAAAAGCCACTTTGTCACGTCATGTATATATACACTGCAGCAGCTGTGTACCGCTGGGGGACTTGGCGGGGCGGAACGCTGCCGCGTTCCTTAATATATTCTCTGTGAACTATTACGAAATAACCCATATCCAAACGGGGAAAAACACACTGAAGTCAACAGAACAACAATTTTTCACATAAAAATATAAATACAGGAATAAAATATCAATGATACTATATTCATGAAACTACATTATTTGTTGGATGGCAATGTGTGATTAATACTTGGCAACTGACTCGACTCGCAGCACGCGCTCCGATCACGCGCTCATATAACTTAGCATATCTCAGGAAATAACGCCTCTAACGGTATATAGTTTGAAGGAAAGTTAAATTTGGATCTTTATCTAAAACTTTCCCGCTGGCCAAATGCTTCTAACCAAATAGTACGTGATTTGGTAGCCGACTAAATTTTACATGTTTAGTTTTAAGAAAGGCCAAGTATAAAGAGTGATTTCACGCTTATTTTTTTAACAATTACAAACTATTTTTTCACAACACGCATCGTCCACTTATAATTGATGTCCATGTCAAGTTTCATAATTTTTCCTCAATTCTAACAGTTCAAAATGTTGATGTTAATAGAGCAGTGTCACGCTGAGCTATATACGCGCGCGAAGCGGTTTGCCCCCAAGGTGACGTCACGTCGCGATGCGCAGAACGGTCTCAAACTCGTCCGGCTGAGTAGCACACCTTATTTACTTCCACCATGATAAGAATCATATTATATTCTAAAGCAATAACCTATTTCTAAGTGATATGTAGGCCTAATTAAAAATTAAATACTCAGATATTTTAATTTCCATTTCAGTAATTGAGAGCGTTATTGGACATCAGCCTCAAAAAGAAAGCACTCCTCCCAACGATTTAAATTCTCCAGGTTTGTTATTAACAAGCTTGCCTATCCAATTTTTAATATTTTTTTTAGAATTTGATTTTTTTAATTGGAACACTGCAAGTACCAATTAAACTGTCCTAAGGTTAAATTGTGTCCTAACCTTAGCCATGCGTGTTTTAGATTTTTATGATTTATTTAGAAGCAGCAGATCATAAATACATCTTGACAAATTTCTTACCTCACCTTTCCCCCTTCAATAGCTAAGGTAAGTGTTTTTGATAAATTTTCGATGTGAGTTTGCCAATTTAATTGTGAGTTTTTGTATTCATAAATAATAAAAGGCGTTAGGAACTATAAAATTTTAGTTGAAATTTAGGGTGATCTTGCCTTTTATATTGGAGACGGAGAATTGTATCAGCTATATTTTGGATACATTGGATAAACAGTCCTCAAGAGAATGGAGCTCTCTGGTGATGGTGAGATGAATGTCTTTTTTCTCTTTGCAAACGATTGCTCAGGGTGTCCACATTCTGGAAAGTCAGGGATAGTCATGGAAAAAAATTTTGGTCATTGAGAGTCAGGGAAATAGGCAAGAAGTCATGGAAATTTCCAATTATGGATGGATTTGAGGGGACCATTCAATGCTCTAGTCAGCTGTAACCCGGACTGTTGGGGATTTTTCACAAATGTTCGACAATTTAATTTATTACAGTTGTATTATTTTATGAGTTTTCGGTTTGTTTTAGTTCATTGTTGTACCTATTGTACTCCATTGTTATCTGTTATTACATATTTCAGTATTTTCTGCAAAATAACATGTCCAGGCAGTTATATTTGTGTGTGTATGTTATATTATAATTTGCGTGTAAAGTTTGTGAGTCATGGAAATCAATGGTAAATGGTCATGGATAGTCATGGAAAGTCATGGAAATTAATGACAAATTTTTTGTGGACACCCTTGTTGCTGTGTCATCTGCATACTGAAATATTGGCATTTTTTATGCACTTCCAAGGTCGTTTCCAAATAATAAGAACAAACATGGACCAAGAATTTATCCTTGCGGCACTGCAAATGGAACATCCTCCCATTCTGACATGTAATTCAAGAGGACCTACCGGGAAAACTAGGAATTATGGGTGAATTTTGTATTTCTACTGGGAATTTTCAATTTAGGCCACTGCGATCACGTAGTGCGACCATGTAGTTTTCATTACCGAGGAAGACAATGATGTCCACATGGCCGGGAGGATGATGGGAATAATGCTGCAATCACGGAAAACAATAATGTGCACACAACTGAGGAAATTATCCAAATTTTGCTGCAATCGCCGGAAATGTTAATGATGTCCAAACAACTGTAGGAGATGTTCATGTTTTTACAGCGATCGCGCAAGACGGAAATGATGTCTACACGGGCATGACAAATGATCATAATTTTGCCGCCATCACAGAAGACGATGATAATGTCCACACGACCGGCAGACATGGTTTTGACAAATCACTAATAAATAATTTCATTTTTTCAGTTTCTACAAAAAGCATAATTCAAGCTAAGCCACAAACACCTAAAGGACCGAGCATGGAATCTAGAAACAGTGTTGATAAAGGTGGGTTAGACATTTATTCGTCATAACTATTTGGGCAACTAGCTTAATAACTTGGCATGTATTGCTTAAGTATTTTATTATATAACACTCTTTGTTTTCTGAATGTTGGTTCAAATTAACATATATTATGATATATTATCCACCCCTTACTTTCCCATGTATTGTGATTACTAATTTTTGTAATTTTGTATTGTAATTTGTGTTGGGACGTACAAGAAGAAACCAATTTCTCGTTCAACATAATGTGTTATTAAAATGTTTACCCAGCAATGGCCTATTATGATTCTAACTCATGTCATATCAAGTAAAATTGTTGCCCTAACCTTTGTTTTGAAAATGTTGACTAAATGTTAACACCTAAAGCCCACACATTAATCTGTTGTACACAAGCTTAACACAAAAGCTTTAAGCTTAACAGAAAACCCAATAAGAATCGTAATATTGTATTCTAAATCAATAACCTATTTCTAAGTGATATGTAGGCCTAATTAAAAATAAAATGCATATGAAAACACTCAGATATTTTAATTTCGGTTTCAGTAATTGAGAGCGTTATTGGACATCAGCCTCAAAAAGAAAGCACTCCTCCCAAGGATTTAAATTCTCAAGGTTTGTTATTTACAAGCTTGTCTATTCATTTTTTTATTTTTTTTAAATTGATTTTTTAAATTGGAACACTGCAGTTAGGCCTACCAACTAAACCGTCCTAAGGTTAAATTGTGTCCTAACCTTAGTCATGCGTACATGTTTTAGATTTTTTTTATTTATTTAGAAGCAACAGATCAAAAATACATCTTGACAAATTTCTTAACTCGCTTTTCTCTCTTCATATAGCTAAGGTAAGTTTTTTCGATAAATCTTCGATGTGAGTTTGCCAATTTAATTGTGAGTCTTTTTGTATCCCTAAATAGCAAAAGGCGTTAGAAACTATCAAATTTTAGTTTGAATTTATTGTGATCTTGCCTTTTATATTGTAGACAGAGAATTGTATCAGCTATATTTTGGATACATTCATGGAAAAGTCGTTGACTGTAAACCAGTCCTCAAGAGAATGGAGCTCTCCGGTGATGGTGTGATGAATGTCTTTTTTTTCTCTTTGCAAACGATTGCTGTGTCATCTGCAATAGGAACAAACATGGACCAAGAATTTATCCTTGAGACACTCAAAATGGAACATCCTCCCATTCTGACATGCAATTCAGAAGACCTGCCAGGAAAACCAGGAATTATGAAGCAATTTTGTATTTCTACCTGGAATTTTCAATTTAGGCTACTGCGATCGCGCAATGCAACGATGAAGTTTTCATTACCAAGGAAGACAATGATGTCCACACTGCCGGGAGGATGATGGGAATAATGTTGCGATCACGGAAGACAATAATGTACACACAACCGCGGCAATGATCAGAATTTTGCCGCAATCCCTAGAAACAATAATGATGCTTACACAGGCACAAGCGATTATCAGAATTTTGCCGCCATCGTGGAAGACGATGATAATGTCCAGACGACCGGCATACATGGTTTCGACAAATCACTAATAAAGGTATTAATTTTTTTCAGTTCCTACAAAAAGCGTTTTTCAAGCTAAGCCACAAACACCTAAAGGGCCGAGCATGGAATCTAGAAACAGTGTTCATGAAGGTGGGTTTAACATTTATTTGTCATAAGTATTTGGACAACTAGCTCAATAACTTGCATGTATTGCATACGTTTTTTATTATATAACACTCTTTGTTTTCTGAATGTTGGTTCAAATTAACATACATTATCCACCCCTTACTTTTCCCATGTATTGTGATTAATATTTTTTGTCATTTTATTTTATTATTTAGGCCTATTGTAATTTGTGTTGGGATGAACAACAAGAAAGAATTTCTCGTTCAACCCAGTTTGTTATTAAAATGTTTACCCAGCAATGGCCTGTTATGATTCTAACTCATGTCATATCAAGTAAAATTGTTGCCCTAACCTTTGTTTTGAAAATGTTGACTAAATGATAACTCGCACTAATCTGTTGTACACAAGCTTAACACAAAGCTTTAATCTTAACAGAAAACCCAATAAGATTCATATTATATTCTAAATCAATAACCTGTTTCTAAGTTATATGTAGGCCTAATTAAAAATAAAATGCATGTGAAAACACTCAGATATTTTAATTTCCATTTCAGTAATTGAAAGCGTTATTGGACATCAGTCTCAAAAAGAAAGCACTCCTCCCAAGGATTTTAATTCTCAAGGTTTGTTAGCTTACCTATTAATTTTTTATATTTTTTTTACAATTTGATTTTTTAAATTGGAACACTTCAGCTACCAATTAAACTGTCCTAAGGTTAAATTATGTCCTAACCTTAGCCATCCGTAGATGTTTGGATTTTTATTATTTATAGGGATGGACGGGATTGACTTTTTAGTTCGGGGCGGGATTTTTATTTCCTTCCCAATTTTCAGGACGGGACAGGGCGGGCTTTTTTCCTGTGCATAAAGTATTGCAGTTACCAAAAAATACAAAATCAATTTTTACCATTTGTGGCACTGATCTATAAAAACAAGAAATGGGTAAAAATTTACAGGTATAGAAACTTGTGACTTGCGTTCGAAATGACTTGAGGTCACGGCATGATCATCGGTATGACTCCGCAGTCACGACACAATCGTCGAAATGACTTCGCCTCCTGCGTTTGCGGGACTATGGTGAACATCTCTCGCGGTAGTGGTGTCATCGTCACTCGCGAAGCGGCAAAATCCCCGACGATCGGATCAAATCCTGTCCCGAAAAATACCCAAATCAAAAGTAATCCCATCCCGAATTTTCCCAAAAATTTCCCAAAATTTTGGGACTTGTCAATTCTTAATGATTTATTTAGAAGCATCAGATCATAAATACATCTTGACGAATATCTTCCCTCTTCGAACATCCTGCCATTCTGACATGTAATTCAGGAGGACCTGCCGGGAAAACCAGGAATTATGCGTGAATTTTGTATTTCTACCGGAAATTTTCAATTCAGGCTTTTGCGATCACGTATTGCGACAATGAAGTTTTCATTACGAAGGAAGACCATGATGTCCACACAGCCGCTAGGATGATGGGAATAATGCTGCAATCTTGGAAGACGATAATGTACACACAACCGCAGAAAATTATCAGAATTTTGCTGCAATCGCACGAGATGTTAATGATGTCCAAACGACCGCAGGATATGTTCATGATTTTACAGCGATCGCGCAAGCCGGTAATGATGCCTACAAGGGTATAACGGATGATCAGAATTTTGCCGCCATCGCGGAAGATGATGATACTGTCCTCACAATCGGCAGACGTGGTTTTGACAAATCACTAATAAAGGTATTCTTATTTCAGTTCTTACAAAAAGCATAATTCAAGCTAAGCCACAAACACCTAAAGGGCCGAGCATGGAATCTAGAAACAGTGTTGATGATGGTGGGTTTGATATATATTTTTCTTAAGTATTTAGACTACTAGTTCAATCACTTGGCGTGTATTGCTTAATATTTTTATTATATAACATACTTTGTTTTCTGAATATAATGTGGGTTCAAATTAATATAAATTATCCACTCCTTACTTTTCCAACTAATCTATGTCAATTTATAAGTAATTTGTGTTGGCTGTTCTTAATATAAGAAGGTTTCAACTGACTACGATAAGATCCCCGTGTGTAGAACGGGCACACAGCTAGTATCAAGTAAAACTGTTGTCCTAACCTTTGTTTTAAAAACTTTGGCTAGATGTTAACACCTAAATCCCACACATTAATCTCTTGTACTCAAGCTTAAGACAAAACCCATTAAGAATCGTCTTATATTTTGAACAATAACCTATTTGTGATATGTAGGCCTAGTTAAAAATTAAATACAAAATGTGAAAGCACTCAATGTGTGACGCAAAATTCTAGGGGGGGAATAAACTAGTATTCACCTAAGTCAGGCTAGGCCTACCCTAGAATCGGCCACACTCAAATTTCTTCCCCGGAGTGCTCAGAAGGAGCCGAGAAAAATCCAGGGGTCGATACGAAGTTGTCACGGCTTTGACTGATCAATTTATTTAAATTTAATCGAAGGCTCAGAGCTCTAGAAGCGCTCAGGAAATCCTGCAGACGCCCAGTTGGAGCTATATCATCCCAGCCTTCGTACAAGTGTTTTGGAGAATTTTGCCTAACTTTTAGAATGACTCTGTAGGGCCGACGAGTATCCAATCTTAAGCCAATGTGATATAAATACTCGTAATGAACTTTAAAATAATTAGCTAAAGGCCTAGGTAAATAGTATAAGATCGAATATAATGTAAAACCCAATCCCTACAGAGTCGTCGGGGCCTAATTAATATAATTGGGCGGATAATTTATCGTGATAGGTTTAAAATAAATTTAATATTAATTTTCGTAGCTGGTTGTTCAAATCAGCCCGCTCCCAAGACTTGGTTCTTTCACCCGCCAAAGACGGGGTTTAGAACTTAGACGACAAGTCTCGGGGTATTAAAACGTCGAATCGACTAGAATAAATTTAAGTAATAAATAATCGTTAAACGAACAGAATAAACGTAATTTCGTAGCAAATTAATTTAAACGAACCGAAAGATATCCACCGCTAGTCACTGGCAGGCAGGAACTGGCGGGTTTTATGCAAGTCGGCGAAAACTAAGTTAATAAAATTTAGAAAATTAAATCGAATTTAAACGGGTAAAAATGAGTGGCAGACGAGTATACGTATATTAAAAGAATAATAAAATGAACGTTAGAAAGTCTAACAACGAAGTTAGCTAACCTGAATCAATAACGTAGAATCGTATGGCGTGATCGTAATTTCGCAAGAGCTTCTCGTGAACAAGTCGACGGTTGAACAGCGAATAATCCTTGTCCGGCTCAAATCCCGATTTCCTCGGCCGCGGCTCAAGCGCTGCGGTGGCGATTTCGGAAACTAGCCAACAGCTGGTCGGGGATTCGCCTGTTGAGCCGGTCTAGTTGTCGTCTGTCGTTGGTCAACAAACACCATTTTGAGGTTAAGTGATGTTGTAATCGGCGTTAAATATTCGTAAAATCGGTCGTTTTAACTTTATTATGTGAAACGGAGTGCTATTATGAATAAATATATCGTTGTGGGTGTGTTTGTGTACTTCACTGTTATTAAAAGTAGGCCTACGTTCTTTGGCCCATAGCCCAAGCTAGGGCCAGCACATAGGCCTAGGATTAGGATGTTGTGGATAAAAATCGGGTAAGTTATGGTGTTTGTTGACTAGCAATACGTTTTTTACCCCCCTTAAAATTTGGTACCTCACAAATGTTTTAATTTCCGTTTTAGTGATTGAAAGCATTATTGGACATCAGCCTCAAAAAGAAACCACTTCTCCCATGGATTTAAATTCTCAAGGTTTGTTATTTACAAGCTTCTTAAATTTGTTTGATAAAAAAAATTTACTCTTTTGTTATTTATTTTGAGCACTGCAGTTATTCAACCAATTCAACTGTCCTAAGGTGGCAAAATTGTTCCTAACCTTGTTCATGTATACAAGTTTATGTTTTATTTTTAAGCAGCAGATCGTAAATACATGAAGACAAATTTCTTCCCTCGCTTTTCACTCTTGATTTACAATGGTGTTGGGTTGGCAAGTTCTTACAATCACTGTTGTCTAAGGTACCTCTTTCACTAACATCATACAAGTGCCGCCATTGTTTAAATCAGAAACTATTGTTGTTGATCAATTACAAAATGAAATAGACATTGTCAGTTGTCACAAGTGGTAACACTATCAACTAACCAAAGGATCTAGTAAACAACGTTCAAACTTTTTGTCAAATCAATATTGTTTATTTTCTTTCCCCAATTAATTTTATTGTATTCATTCTGAAACGTTTATAATATTGACGGCTGGTAGCATCAAGCTACATTTGATTATTTTTAGTAGTCAAATGTAATTGTGCCTTAAAAGTCTTATTGGTGTTTTGGTTTCAGAGTTGTACCAAGCTGTACCAAGTTCCTCAAGCGTCAAACGCTCTTCAGTCTCAACCAGTTTGAGTAAGTAGCTTGAGACGTTCAAATTTCTAAATGATCAGTTAGCTACTGATACAAGTACTTATTTTGATTTTATTAAATGGGGGCACAACTCAACCCAAACAAGAGCACAGAATGAAATGAGCTACCTTGTGTAGCTTTGTTCCATAAGATTAGGTGACTTTAGACAGCACATCCATGCTGAACACAAATTAAATCACTTTGGTAAAATCCACTCAGGCTTAAAATGATTCAAAATGTAGGCTACCAAACACAATCAAAAAACCAGCCGATCACTCTTTTACAAAAATAAGAAATTATGTAGCTTATCGAGAATTTCTAGATCTTAATTCCATGTTTTTGGTGCTGGGAAACATAAAGGTTGAACCTTGAGGCGTAGGAGCGTTTAAATTTTTAATGAGTTATTTGAAATGTGCTCAGATTTAACATGGAAATTTGTTCCAGATGATTCCCGAACAAAGACCAGTAGAGTGTCTAAGATCTCCCAAAGGCCATCTACTTTACCAGTTGTACCGGAGGAAACTGCTGTGCAAGGTATGTAGAGGTTTGTTTGGCTTGTACAGGTATTCTACTTGAAAAAACCCCAAGTTTTTGCTAAATGTAAAAGAAAATATTGTTTTTGTTAATTTAAAATCAAACAGAGCCATTGACTAGTGATCTTAAAGAGAAAGTTAAAACAATTGATTTATCATTTATACTCCTTTTTATTGCTTTGATGAGTTGTAACTGTATAATTAATTTTTATTCTACATGTAAATAAAAACTTTCACATGTATTACTATTAGGGATGGACGGGATTGAATTTTTAGTTCGGGACGGGACGGGACGGGATTTTTATTTCCTTCCCGATTTTCGGGACGGGACGGGACGGGATTTTTTCTGTGCATAAAAAGAAAGTCTTGAGTATTGCAGTTACCAAAAAAAGACATACAAAATCAATTTTTACCGTTTGTGGTACTGATCTATAAAAACCAAAGAATGGGTAACAATATACAGGTACCTATAGAAACTTGTGACTCACGGTCACGGTGCGATCGTCAAAATGACCGCGTTCACGGTGCGATCGTCGGTAGGACTCCACGGTCACGGCATGATCGTCGGCATGACTCCGCGGTCACGGCATGATCGTCGGCATGACTCCGCGGTCACGGCGCGATCGTCGGCATGACTCCGCGGTCACGGCGCGATCGTCGGCATGACTCCGCGGTCACGGCGCGATCGTCGGCATGACTCCGCGGTCACGGCACGATCGTCGATATGACTCCGCGGTCACGGCGCGATCGTCGGCATGACTCCGCGGTCACGGCGCGATCGTCGGCATGACTCCGCGGTCACGGCGCGATCGTCGGCATGACTCCGCGGTCACGGCGCTTGTCGGTAGAACTCCGCGGTCACGGCGCGATCGTTGGTATGACTCGCGGTCACGGTGCGATCGTCGGTCCAATAATCGCGGTCACGTTGCGATCTTCGTTATGACTCGCGGTCACGTTGCGATCGTCGGTCCAATAATCGCGGTCACGGTGCGATCGTCGGTAGGACTCCACGGTCACGTCGTGATCGTCGGTATGACTCCGCGGTCACGGGGTGATCGTCGGTATGACTCGCGGTCACGGGATGATCGTCGGTATGACTCGCGGTCACGGCATGATCGTCAGTATGACTCCGCGGTCACGGCGCGATCGTCGGCATGACTCCGCGGTCACGGCGCGATCTTCGGCATGACTCCGCGGTCACGGCGCTCGTCGGAAGAACTCCGCGGTCACGGCGCGATCGTCGGTATGACTCGCGGTCACGGTGCGAACGTCGGTCCAATAATCGCGGTCACGTTGCGATCTTCGTTATGACTCGCGGTCACGTTGGGATCGTCGTCGGTCCAATAATCGCGGTCACGGTGCGATCGTCGGCAGGACTCCACGGTCACGTCGTGATCGTCGGTATGACTCCGCGGTCACGGGGTGATCGCCGGTATGAGTCGCGGTCACGGCGTGATCGTCGGCATGACTCCGCGGTCACGGCGTGATCGTCGGTATGACTCCGCGGTCACGGCGTGATCGTCGGTATGACTCCGCGGTCACGGCGCGATCGTCGGTAGTACTCCGCGGTCACGGCGTGATCGTCGGTAGGACTCCGCGGTCACGGCGCGATCGTCGAAATGACTTCGTCTCCTGCGTCGCGGACCTATCACTCGCAATAGCGGCGTCATCGACACTCGCGAAGCGGCAAAATCGCCGACGATCGGACCAAATCCCGTCCCGAAAAATTCCCGAATCAAATGTAATCCCGTCCCGATAATCGGGAATATTTTTTTCCCGAAATATTCCCGAAATTTCGGGACCCGTCCATCCCTAATTACTATGATAGAATAAGAAGTTGAGTTCACCATATGAGATTCCTGTTGTACCTCTGGCCGAGTTTGATCAAGGTTTATTATGCATTGTTGTGTAATGCTAAATTTAAATAATTCAAAAATTGGAGGGAAATGGAATTGCTTCCCCTCTAACGGCCTAAATTTTGTGAACGGAATTTAACTATTTTTTAACAATCCCTAGCAAAGGAAATTAGCTATTACTGAGAGCTTAGTTGCTCAAATTTTGAAATAAAGCTAGAAATACCTCCTTAACTCCCGCTCTTTTAAAGTCAATTAATCACTCTCAAGTACTTTCCCATCCCTTTTTAGCGAATTTCCCTATAGGGAAGTAGCTATTACCGTAGGTCTCATGGTAAGACCTAAGCCCGGGACCGATTTACTTTTTCATTTTGATGTCCCCAGAGGCCAAAAACACCATTCGTTCAAATTTTTATATATCTATATATATATATATATGTGTCCATCCGCACGATAACTTGAGTAATTTTTGTCCGATTTTGATCAAATTTGGTTTGAAGGTGTAAGGCGGGATTAACTTGAATGAGTTCGCGAACCAGCATGATCGGACTATGGGAACGGGGGTTTATGGGGGGTTTTATGGGGTAAAAATAGGTTTTTCCCATTTTTGACCCTAAAAACACAAAATTTCACAATTTCTTTTTAAACCATTTTGTAGAGCTTAAAAAAAAACAAATAATTTAGTATATTGAAGCGTTATTATGCGCCTAATTGTTACGGAGAAAATTCCAAAAAATTGTAATTTTAAAATCCCCATGTTATTCTTATGAAGAATAAGTCAACTGTTGTTGTTTGCTTGTTTATGAACATATTTTGATCAAATTTGGAAAATTCATTAATTTCTTACTAAACCACAGTACCTTTTTTTACATTAAAAAAAAACTTTTTACCCCCCCCCCCTGTTGCAGCAAACCTAAGTACTCATTAAACTAATTCTGTTTAAATTGGGAATAAATGTGATATTTTTAAGGAATGGAAATTCGCTAAGTCTGCAGGTCTGCTGCGGCGGGGGTATTTATTTTATTCGTTTTAATCATTACACTACATCCCGATTAGGCTGTTTAAAATATTTACTTACAACTACATCCGACTTTCTATTAATTACTTTTTTTACCTTTGATAGTAACTTGGTAGTGAGCCATTGATCGTCATGATATAAACTAAACTAAAGGCCTATATTTAAGAAGTTGTTTTTGTAATGTTTTTTTTGTGCTGTATTGCTGGATTTATTTGTGCTAATTAGTACAATAACAACTAGTCAAGTGTTTGTTTATCCAAAATAATGCTTAACTATAACTTCATATAATAAAAAAAAATATATTTTTACATCTCACTTTGCCACTTGTATTTATCTTAGAATTGTATACATAAGAAAAACAAAACAACAGAAACACTCTGATTTTTATTTAAAATACAAATTTCTAACCTGAGTAGATGAATAAAAAGCAATAACTTATGTTGCAGGCACTTCACAAGTTCCCGGAGAAGACATTTTTAAACATTCTAAAGCTCAGAGTGGCTGGCTAATCCCGAAAGAAACGCAAAGCCGAATATCTCTCAAAAGGAAATCTAGCGTTCCAGTGACGATCACTAAAAGAACCAAGAAAACCAAAACCAATCAAGAAGAGGACGATGCAAGTTTATTTGACAGTCCAGAACTTCCTAACCTTTTGGAAACTTCATCACTGGTAAACAGAAGGAAGACACATGTCCTAAAAAAGAAACCTGTAACCCCTGAAATTCTAGAAGAGCACCGAGAAAGTTTAACCTATGGTATTATTGCGTTGGATGATCTAAATAAAATTAAAAACACTGCATCTGATACTGTTGAAAAACGATTAGAGGTCAAATCACAAAAAACTGTACCTAAAACCTCACAGAAAACCCCTTCTAGAAACCAATTAGAAGAGGAACTTGATGTAGCAACAAACTCAAGAGGGAAATTATCTAACAATGTTGCAGGAGAAAGTAAACTTGTCGAAACAAAGGAGCAGCTATCCCAAGGCAAGAATGTATCAGGCGTAGACAGTAAGAAAAGTGAGGTTGAAATCAATACTTCAAAGAGTGATGGCCAAAAAAAGGTGAAAATAGTAAAGAAAACTGTTAAGAGATCCAATCGTGACTTGAATGTTGAATCTTTGGAAAATACTAGACCCAAGAGAACATTGCGTGAAAGAAAGCCCAATATCAATTATGAAGATAATTCTGTTATTGCTCAAGGAGAAAAAGAAAATATGCGAGGTAAGAAAAGAGAACCAACAATAAAGTCCAGTCAAGAAGTTACAGAAGCAAAACCTGCAGCAAGTTCTGTCATTAAGCCTTCTGCAAAGAATAAGCAAAAGAAGAACAATATAGACAAAGAAAACACACCACAAACTGGTACCAAAACATACGATAGTGAAGTAAGTTTTGAACTTGAAGAAGAACATGATGAAAAGGATGTTTTGAAAACGTATAATAATGCTGATGCTCAAGAAGAAAAACCCAAGATCAAGGGTCGTAAAAAAAATGTGGGGAACACAAAAACTGCCAAAACTAATAATAAATTAGCCTCTAAAACTTTAGATGAAAATAATTCAGAAGCGGGTGCAAAAGAAAAAGAAATTTCCAAACCGAGCGGTATTACACAGGGAGTGACGGCTGTGAAGTCTACGACTACATCTGTTAAAAGGAAAACTCAATCCAAAAAACAAACCTCACTTGCAAATGATCTGAACCAAAGAAATGAAGAAATTGAAGCTGCACATGTTTTGTTAGATGTTGAAAACAGAGAGTTTATTTTGCATGGCGAAAGCTCGTCCAATATTGCTTTTACTAACAAAGTGAAAACATCTCTACCTTCTGAAAAGAAACGTGTACAAACATCGGTCTCCAAAAAACATTCTGCCGCAGTTACTGGTGAAGATTTGAATTTAGCTAGCAGCCCATCAAAGTGTGATGTGGGCAAGCAACAAAGTGAATACGAAGTTGAAACTAGTCCTAAAACTGTCGGAAGAAAGAAAAATTCTCAACACCAGTCAAAAGTAAAACCAAAGAGCGGAAGTGTTTCTGAACGTGCTGATGATAAAACCAACAAGCTGGTCCTTGAAACACAGTCCTGTGTTTCTTCCTCCACTGGGACAAAACAAAACACCGAAGATACAGGGTCTGGCGATTCTCATTCAGGTAGACCTAATCTTATTCTGGCAATTTTTATGTCATAAGTAAAGATGAACTAGCAAATGGGGATTTCTATTTATTATTTAAAGGCAGTTTTTACTGTTGAACTTTTTATCTTAGGTTTCGGTTTGTAATTTGTATGTTTTGCAAAATTCTATGGTAAAAGGGAATTGCGTTATTCGTTATGCCTCGGAAACCAGCCTTCAACTCTATTAAAATGTGCAAATTGTATCTTCTTGTAATTCGTTGTAAAGAGACTGCTTAATCAATTGGTCTGAAATTAATGAAGCTTTAAGGTTCATTTGACACAATCTCGTAGTTTCAAATATGCAATTATATTTAGATGATTTTTTAGCCAAGTATAGAATTGCAAAGCTTAAAAAAATACCTTGCCAAGATATCCACTTAACTACCCAGACAATTATGCAAGTTATTCTGTTTTACTTTTATTAGGATACATTTTACGAGTTAGCCATTCTACTCTCAGGACTACAGTAACCTAGCAACCTAGGTCTACATTATTATTGAGAATTCATTAAATATTGGTTTTATAGAGTCTCGTTTCTATTTTCGGAAACGAATACAACACCCAGTCGAGTTTTGGAAGACCCAAACCTTCAGTCAAACATCAAACGAAAGTCGTTAGTACCTACTTATGATTTTAGGCATGGTATGAGCATGGTAGAATTTTGTAGCTAAAAGTCCCATTTATAGAAAAAAATTTCCAATATTTTCTTCAAGCAGAACATAGTAACTGTTATGAGTCTTTCTTCACTCAGTGTGCTACTGTAAAGATTATTTTTCTCCAAGTCTACTAAAATCGATGATATCAAAAAGATGCAAGCTTTCTACAATAATTGTAGGGTTGTTGAATCCTTTTAGTTTGGCATGATTGTAGAGTTATTTACGACAGAAATCAGTACTATCCAGCAGAAAATTTGTGTTAGTGGCTAAATTTAACCAAGTTTTTTGTTCTAATATACATACATACATATATCCTCTACCACTCCGATTATCTTCGGGTCTGGGTGTTCATTAGGCCTCTTCATCTTCTGTCCTTCCACAATTCCACTTCCTCCACATACTGCCATTGCGCTCCTCTTCCTTCCACAACACGTTTCACCTCGTCAAACCACCTTCCTCTGGGACTTCCTTTTAGTCTTCTTCCATCCATTCAAAGTTCACTCATTCTTTTCGAGATTCTTTCATTCTCAATTCTTATGTGGCCAAACCATCTCAATCTCGTCTTCTCTACTCGTTCTCTCATATTTCCTTCAACTATTCCTCTTCTCATCTCTTCATTTCTCATTCTGTCTAAACTTGTTTTACCTTTTATCCCTCTTATAAACTTCATCTCCCCTGCCTGAACCCTACTCTATTCCCTCTCTGTTATGTCCCAAACTTCAGCACCATAGGTAACTATCGGTATATAGTACGTTTTGTACATGGTAACTTAGCTTTCTTTGGTATATCCTTATCCTAGACTAGATGTCCAATACTTTGGTAAAATCCTGCACCTTTCCTCAGTCTCGCCATCACCTCTTGCGCCATCCTTCCATCGTTCGAAATCACCGTCATTAAAAATGTAAATTTTTCAACCAACTTAAGTGGTTTTCGTCCTACTTTTAAAGGTTGTTCCAACACCTTATCTCTTACAATCACCATCACTTCACTCTTTTCCTTACTTATTCTTAGTCCCCCCTCTCTCTCTCTCATAACCTCCGCCCATTTATTCAGTTGTCTTTGTAACTCTCCTTCATTTCTTCCCCACAGCATTTTATCTTTATCATCTGCAAACATCATAGTTCCCACATTTCTCCCAACGTTTCTGACTTCTCTCCACATTATTTCCATTACTGTACCGTACCACATTAAACAAAATCGGTGACAAAATACTTCCCTGTTTCAGTCCCTTCCTTATATCAAACCAACTGGTATACTCTGCAACTGTCCTAACACGTCACTTGTGAATCCTATACAATTCTGTAATCCACCCTGTGTTATTTTTTTTCCATTCCAAATTCCAATACCTTTTAATCTATCCCAGATGGCAGTTCTCTTCAATGAGTCTAATACAGTATGTATGGTCATAATACTCATAATATAAAACTGGCTTTTACTAACATGGGAACAAGGTTAAAGTGCATGAGAATGTTTCCCTTGACGCTCCTACTCGATTGCTGAGTCATCTGGGAGCCCTTCCCGAGTGCAGCTTGTTGCTTGTAGTATTAAGATATTTTGGTTTTACAGTTTAATTGTTTAGTTATTGAGTTGAATTACTGGGCCATACTGTATTTTACTATTTAATTTTGTTATTAATTACAGTTTTGTTTATATAATAATAATCCAAACTATGGCTGTGATTGGCTCTGAAGTTGTTATTTCACTTGTTGAATCAAAAGTTGTGTTACGGGACAAAATAGTTAATAAACTTTCGTTCGTCATTCCTCAGGTCTTAAAATAAATGTTTTAAACATTGTCAACTCCTCATGTTCCAAATTTATTTGATACACCCAGTGGAGACGGTCGCGTTTCTATCTTTTTCTCCACCGGTAAATTATCAAAGCAGCAATAATTTGCTTGTGATCCATACTACTCAACACCTTCCACTGAAATATCAATATACTCTGTTCTGGTGCGTGGGGGGTTCGGATTTTTTAATCTTCCGATTACAAATCAGATATTGTGTGAAAGCAACAGACCCAGGATCATCTGCCCGTACGATTAACACTCGCAAGAGCGAAATTATATAGTGTGAAAGGAGCAATAGACTAATAAAGACTGAAATGCAAATACCATAGTAATGTAATTAAATTATCCTTGGTGATTTCTTCTTACTAAGCAGCTTTTAATTGCAATAATTAGTATATTTTATTTCAGAACAATCGCTTATGAACACTTGATGCATTGCAATTTTAATCACATAATTTATCACATTTTTTAGGTCAGCTATTGTCATCTAAAAAACGAAAAAAACCAGAAGAGAATCTCAATAACTTGCACCCAAAGTACAGTAAGTTTGGTAATGTATTTCCACAAGTTTAAATTGGTAGAAGTTTTCTAAAGCTTTTTTAGGTTTATTTTTATAGAACCCTATTAATAAATTTATTTTCATGTATTAGAGCTAGAGAACTGTGTGGTTACGTTTTAATACAATTCAATTTGAATGAACAACAACTAACAACTAAGACGGTTGTGGTTGGGTCCGTGGAATTGGCTAACTCCGGAACTCGCTAACCTCATGTTAAACGCCCTTATCTTCAAATTTGGTCGATAAGAGGAACTCGCTAACTTGTTCGGTTTCGGAATTGGCTTACTCCGGAACCCGCTAACCCGCTCTAGAGCCGGGTTAGCGAATTCCGTCCTCGTACGGAAGTGGCTAACTCGGTCCATCGGCGGAACTCGCTAACTCCCAATCAGAGTCCAATAGGAGCCAAGCACGAATATTTTTGGCCAGTGTTGCCGAAAGTGTAGTATACCTAAATCGTATCGGTACCATAATGTCGTATCCTACGATTAATTAGGAGTAAGAGCAACGTAGTCGATAAAATAAATATATTTAGAAGTATGTTTAACATTATTCTTATGATTATTAGGGTGGAAAATGCATTATACTCTTACCATAGACTAACCAACACAAGTAAACTTTACATGCCATTGTAAACTTTGAAGCTCGTTTTTCGTGTCTAGTTCATGTCCGGTGACACTGATCACTAGTGTCAACAAAATTGTGTTTCTATTATTTTATAGTTAACTTCATGATTTGTTCTTTACTGTTTGGTTATATATCTAGGGGACGTGTTATTAGTTGTGATTAGAACGTTTTATTTGGTTAAACGAGGTTTTAAATTAGGTACTGAAAACAAGAAACAATTGTAAACAAAACACGACCTCTAAAGACAGTGCACCGAAACGAACAATACAACCATAGATAAAACATACTCCCTTAGTGATACAACTGTCTTCAGATGATCCATAAGGATGAGAAATTTACTAATATAAGGGAATATGTTTTATATGTGGGTTTCTTACTTAAATAGTAGCTTATTGGTATGCAAAAAGATAAAAATGCACATTTAATTTGGATCTATTATATGTTATGAAATATCTATTTTCGTAGTCCGCCATTTGTTTCTTTTATTCGAATAAATACCATTTTGTGAACTTCTGCAAATAAAATTATTGAGTTCGTATTTTATATACTGGGCTTGTAACCTTAAATCATAAATCATAATAAAATTTACACGTTAAACGTCATTACAGAATTACATTGTAGTGGTAACGCATTTTTAAATAGAGCTACTGAATTTAAATAAATATATATCAATACATTATAAAGTGGTAGGCCTAATGTATTCATGGATTGCATTAAAAGTTAGTCTATGCATAAATACAACTTGTAAATTTCTTTTATCGTAGGCTATTGGTGTAGAACCCGGGTCATCCTCTTAATTTTGTTGAATTATTATTAATTTTACGTCTTTCAGTAGGCCTACTTTTTAAAAGTCTGGAGTTTTGCTCCAGGCTGGTTCTAAATGGACCCAGGCGTTCTTGTTTGTTACAATTTGTTACAAATCCAATTCACACATTAAAATGTCTGACGAACTTAAAAACTTAAAGGAGCAATGTTTCATATACCACGAAAAAACAAAACATTTACATTCGAATCACTTTTTAAGACAATACTACTTTAGAATAAAAGATAGATTCAGGAGAATAATAAGAGAAGAGAAATCAAAGGCCGTATTAAATATCATCGAGGAATCCGACAATAGAACCAAAGGAATCTGGAAAGTTATAAATAATAACAGACGGAAAAAAGGTGAAAGGGGTATAGAAAGTATTAATTTAAAAACTAGTTTTGGTGGCATTGATTCTGAACCCAAGGATGTTTGTGAGAAACTCAATCAATTCTTTATTAAAACGGTTGGAAGTCCGTTATGTGTCACAAACAACGTCCAAAACAATAGTATAGATAGAAATACAAGCTCTTTTTTCCTAAGACCAATTAATCCAGATGAAATAATAAAAATTATACAAAGCCTTAAGAGTAAAAGGTCTGCTGGAGTAGATGGGATACCACCAAAACTAATAAAGTCAATCTCAGACTTAATTTCAACACCGTTAAGTCACATAATAAATAGCTCGTTTGCCGAGGGAAAGTTTCCTAGCCAGCTAAAATTGTCTTTGGTAAGGCCAATCTTTAAGAGCGGAGATAGAAGTTCTTGCCATAACTACAGGCCTGTAAGTCTAGTTTCGACGTTCTCAAAGGTTTTTGAGAAAGCAGTAATTAGTAGGCTGTGCGATTTCCTAGAGAAACACAATATATTAGTTGGAAAACAGTACGGCTTTGTAAAGAACAGTTCGACAACAAAGGCCATACTCAGCCTCATAAATAAAGTAGTCAAAGACATTGATTCGGGACAATCTGTGGCTGGCATGTTCATTGACTTGAGTCGTGCTTTTGACTTAGTTGACCATGGTCTTCTTCTGGGAAAAATGCATGATGCTTGCATTAGAGGCATTGCTCTTGATTGGTTCACATCATACCTTAAAGGAAGAAAGCAGTATGTAGCAATCCCTGCCATCGATGAAACAGGTCTTCTAAAGTATCATCGTTCTACTGACGCCTCAGTCACGATAGGTGTGCCCCAGGGTTCCGTCCTTGGACCGACCTTATTCCTTCTATTTATAAACAACTTGCCCACTTGCGCAAACAAGGCAAACATTTGTCTGTTTGCCGATGATACATCTCTTACTGTATCCAGTCATTCTACAGAAACACTTGAGCAATCGATTTTTCTTGAATCTAATAGCCTGCTCCAATGGTGTGAGGATAATCATCTTGTCCTAAATGCAAAAAAAACCCAACTTCTCCAATTTAGCATTTCAAATCATCAAACAAACAAAAAACAAGGAACATTTAGCTTACTGTTGGGTGAAAATGAGATCCATCCCTGTCAAGAGGTTAAGTTCCTTGGTGTGGTCCTTAAGATGAAAATCTTAACTACCACAAACATATCAAACATGTCACAACAAAAATATCAGTTGAGTTGGTATTTCCATGCTACGTATGCTTAGCCAAACAGTAAATTCAGAAGTCCTCCTGTCTGCTTATTATGGTCTTGTATATCCATATTTATCCTATGCTGTCCCTGTCTGGGGTAGTGAAAGTGAAAAGACGAAGTTTCTTTTCCGACAACAATTGAAAGCCATCCGCATCATATTTTCCCTACCTAAACGTCAGTCCTACAAAGACATTTTCCAAAAATTCCGAATTCTAACCTTCCCATCCATATACATTTTTGAAACACTATCCTTCACCAGAAAAAATATATCTTCTTTTTGTTCACAGCTCAACAATAGATATCCACTTCGTAATTCTTCCGACCTTGCAATTCCTAAGCACTCAACTTCATTCTTCCAAAAAAAAACTTTCAATACAGTGCCGTCAAGCTTTTCAATAACCTTCCTCCTTCCTTAAAGACCGAACAGGATTTAAATAGATTTCAGAAAAAACTAAAGAATTTTTTGCTGGATAATGCCTTCTGCAGCGTTCGTGAATTTCTTTGCCCTAGAACTGGTGGGGCCTAAATATAGTAGCATAGTTGACCGTTTTAATTTATACAAGAGAGTTTTTTTTGTTATGTAAATATTGTATTTTATTTTGTTTTGTTGAGGTAGCTAATGCATTTTATGTTAATTTTGCTGAATAAACGACTTATGACTTAATTCTTATGAATGGTGGCCATAGCTAAAATTACTTGATCTTATCCAAAAACAAAGCTATTGTCTATTGTGTAGCTCAGTACTGGGGAACGGTGAACCGAGCAATGGCATGGTATAGTTTATATCGATTGTGAAAGCAATATAAAGGAAACCCAACACTCAAATCAGGAAAATCCGTCAATTTGTTTATTAAGAATCGTGAATTAAAATAACCCTGTCACGTTTTATTATATGAATATTATATCTTCTCCTATTTTTGACTAGTGGTGCTTAGGTGTACAATCTAAAAACGGTTTTAAAACATGTAACATTATTGCTAAAAAATTCAACACATTTTAGAATTATGCAACTATTTACTAGTAGGCCTACAATGCTTTGGTTCAAACTATTAGGCCTAGATAAAAACTTAGTCTATGTCATCATATTTGTACACGTAAGTTGGACATTTCAACGACGAACATTTAATTTAAAATCTATGAATTAGTTATGAAAGTTACGATGGTTGATGGCTGTATTAATTAATGGTTTTGGTTTATTACGACATTACAATTAAATCTGTTTTCCGTGTTTAAGAACTTGCGTGTATTTTAGCTTAATTTCGTAGAGGTTTAATTATTTAGTACCAATTAAACTAAATTTTAAATATTTTTCATATTCTATTATTTTATTTTATACTGATGGCATTTATATTTAAGATCGAAATCATAAACATTTAACTGGCCATTGTACAGTTTAGTAAAAAAACACTTTTTCATGATTTTTTAATTGTCTTTTAATTACTTTGGGCTAGTTATCTGTTAAAAGTGGAATTGATAACAAAAAACAATAACATTTACTGTATCTTTATAGACACTGACATTTTGAAATACGGCAGTGTACGATTATTTTGTCGTACAAGGTTGGCAACGCTTCGAGCAGTGGGTGCGGCCGGGTTAGCGACTTCCAGAGTTAGCGAATTCCGCCGCGAGACAAAATCGAGTTAGCGGGTTCCGGAGTTAGCCAATTCCTGACTGAGATGGTTAGCCAGTTCCAGAGTTAGCCAGTTCCGACACACGACCGAGTTAGCGAGCTCCTGAGTTAGCCAATTCCTACGTCTCTTGTGGTTATGTAGCAACGTAAAACTACCTGGTATCAAATTGCGTGTTTTACTGTAGTAACGCTCTTAAACCTACAAATTGGCATCGATGGTTTGGAGTTAGTTAGACACTTTCATAAACAATCAAACACTATCATACCCAAAAGTGTGGGTATTTATAAAAAGTATAAACAGCACTGTTATGCATAGTTCATTGGATTTGTCATGACGGGTGGCGTCGTCCTGTAATCCAGCTACTAGGAGGTCACGAATTGTGGATATTTATAGGGATGCACTGTGGATGCGATGCTCACTGGTGTGGATTAACGTCCGCACTAGTGAGTACTACGACTATCCGTAGTACTATCCTGATAATTAGACCAATTCGTAAATTACAAGGAAAAATGTGGTTCGGATTCCACTATAAACTGTAGGTCCCTTAGTTGCCATTAGCTGTATGGGCTATTAATTAACAGCTGTGTCTAAGGAACATGTCGGCCTTAGTCACTAACAAGACTACAAGATCGCGCCACTCATCCTACACTCATCCTTCACTCATATTTGGGTTAAAATACGCACATAGTGGCGTCCCCATCTTAAATAATTGATAATTGATTGATAATCTAATTGAGTAAAAGATTGTGGCCATCACTGTTTGATTAGGGTTTTAAAAGATGCTTGGTCTAAATGATGGGGGTTAATATAAGAATTCAATCTGTGAGAATCATTTTCCCAAATTTCATTACTTTTAAAATGTTTTTTATCATTATTTATTAGTTTCATTAAGGCATCAAAATTGCATTAGTTCTAAGATATAAATGTATCATATAATCTCCCAAGAATTGTTGAAATCTATATACAATATATTAATTTGATCAAATATTGCTAAATATTGCTAGAATGTAGGCTCTTATTGTGTTTCTAAAAAAAGTTTCTAAACAGTTTACATATATTTTCATTATTATTCTTTTTTAATTTATGCAAATATACATAGCCTATATGTATAAATCCGTTTTAGAAATATGTCTATTGTCAAAAAATTAATCCTTTTATTATTTGATTTTTAATCTGATTTATGAGAACAGTTTACGTTAGTCAATTGTACGCCAGCCGCAACAGACGGGCTTTTTGTCCATTGTTGTATTTAGTGCTAAGAAGTTATTTTTGTACAAATATTTGTAAATAAAAACAATTTTTCATTCATTCATTCCATCACTGTTTGATTAGGGTACAATTTATCATGGAATATGGTGAATTAAAAACCCACCTTTCAAAAGTGTACGCATGCACTAACATTTGAATATTTATCATTTTAAAGTGGTTAGGATTGATAATACTTAACCGTCGGTTTTTATAGATTTTATCAAAGACCAACAATAGTATTCAGTGAAAGAAACTAAAAGAAAAATTATATCAGCATAGCCTAAAAAGGTTTAAATTTTGTACAGAAGTGTACATGTACAGGGTGGAAAAAAGTCCCAGGACAATTAAATATTTCAAAGAGTAATAAAGATAGAGCTTCAAAACTTGGTACACAGTTACTGGGCGTTAAAATCATTTAAACACATTATTCAGTGATACACTACCTCCTCATGGGGATGGCCCGCAAGGAGTAAGAAGAAAATCTTAAATGTAAGCACTACTTGAGATAGCAAACAACTCTCAATTTCAACAAAAATTAAAATTTTGGAAAAACCAATTATCCAAAATCATGATCATGATGGTTTTCTTTTTTTTATGTGGTTGGTATACACATCATTTTAAAGGCCTTTACTGGTAGAATACAATGCCGCAGATTTGAACTCAAACGGACAACCGAGTCAAAAATGGCAGCTGTAAAAAAATTTCTTGTATCTGCCATTTTGAATTGGACAGCTGCCCTTTTTACTCAGTTGTTATTTTGAGTTTAAGTTTGTGGCATTGTGTTATACTAGTAGAGGCCTTTAATTAGATGTGCATGTCGAACTTTTGCATAGGTTTTTTATTTTCTTACAACTTCTAGCGGGAAGTTAAAGTATCATTGCAAATTCAATGCATCTTTTAATAGCTGTCATTTTAAACTGTATGAATTTGGCTCCCTAAAATATCAAATCAAATAAGTGTATGTATATGTATGTGTTTAGTAGCAATTATTTGATGAACCAAAAAATACACATAATACAGATACTACATTTCTATTTAAAATCAAAATACAAATAATAACTTGTGTGTAGCGTGTACTGTAGCTGATAATTACAAATAAGTATGAATGAAAAGTTGTTATTTACCCTTAGTTGTTATGAATACCCAGGAATTGTACATGTCTAGTACTGATTAGTCCTATTAAGCGTATTTTAACACATTTTGTTTTACAGACATAAATAATTTGTTTGGGAATCAAAAGCCGACAACACAAGAGTTGACGGAGGGAGTGACAGCGTTGAGACACATTCACATCGCTGACTTCTTGATGATGGGAGTGGTCACATTGGAACCTGGAGCAGTCCTTCGCAAGATATCCACCAACACGGTAAATTGTTCTAAACTGTATACATATCTACGAGGTTTTCCAGTTTAGGAGAGTGTCAGACGAGTGCACGAGGCTAGTGCTAATTGATTGGCGCTTATAAATTAGCCCCATGTAAACGCTCCATTAGCAAAAATAATAACTAGCACGCAAGTTTTTACTCACTGATAGTCGCTCTTAACATGTTTGATAATACTAGCCCTAGTGAATTGGCGCACCACTAGCGGGTTGTGTGCACTTCTAGGAGAGCGCTAGTGCTTATCGCCACTTGTCAAACTGATTTTTTTTTTACAAAATGTGTTTGATAATACAGGGCGTTTATAAAAGAATCATCAGGTTTTAAAACATTTTATTGACGCTAATGTTTAACAAATATGGTTATAAAACATATCAACATTAAGGAGGACTCTTAAATTTTTCATAGATACCCCTACAACTTGTCAATGTGCCGTCCATAAGCCGTGGAGCAAGTTTCCAATCTATGCTGTAAATTGTCCTATACCCTGGCTAGCATCGCTAGGTTGATTGATTCTACACGGCATTGCGAATTCGTCCACGGAGCTCTTGAAGTGTTTGAGGCATTGGCGGTATATAAACTTTGTCTTTTACATAGCCCCATGGAAAAAAATCACACGCCAAAATATCAGGGGATCTAGGGGGGCATTTGAGAAGGGTAAAGTCATTATCGTTACATTTGCCAATCCACCTAAGTTTTTAAGAGAACTCTGCGCGGCCACTGATTTTACTTTTTAATACATTTCCAGAGTTCTTAAACTGGCGATACCACCTTAAAATGCTTTGTTGTGTAGGAGGAGTCTGTCTAAAATGCCCCCAAAACTCACGCTGGGCAGTTATTAAAGATAAACTTGAGTCATAATGAAAAACACAAAATGTTTTTTTCTGGAATTTTAATCATTTTGAAAACCATGCAAACACGTCCAAGAAAAAACCAAGACCTGTTATTGAACAGCTGATTATAAAACTTGGAAACATGCTTATTAAGCACATGTTTAAAATATTAATGTGGAACATGAATTGGTTGAGGTACACGCCATTTAAACCTGATGATTCTTTTATAAACGCCCTGTACGTTGATTAAAAGAAACCCGTTGTATTTTGTTCTCTAGGCACTAACAAGTAACTTCTTTATGGTAAAATTACATCTCAGTTCTATCCATGTTTTTCAGGCATACACCGTGGTGGATGGATGCGCATGTGTAACCATCAACAAAGTCACCAAATATTTTGAAGCAAAGGATGTAAATAGAAGATTCTTCATCCCTAGAAGTGAGTAGTACAATATCTGTAGTATTGATTTAGGTAGATTTCTCATATAATCTAATCATATAATAATAATTAGTTTAATAGTGATGGATGGCCAAAATCTCAAAACCCAAACCAAAATTTTAAATATCAAATCTTTAATATTGATAACTAAACGGGAAACTATTTTATTTGTCCGATGAAAGATATGAAAAATATAGGTAGTACTAGTAAGCTAAAAAAGCTGATACATTTTTTTTAACTGGGAATACAATTAAAACTGAATAAATCAGACCACTGACCATGACGTAATAACTCGAATATGTATACAGTATGAGTAAATGCCCACTAGGCCTATAATAACTAATGCTTCAGTTATATACAGGGTGTCTACCAACCGGGAAATCCGGGAAAACCGGGAATTGTACTTAAATTTTTATTGGCCATGAAATGTACGGGAATTGTCCTTAAATGCCAGACAATGTCCTTAAATTTTTAATGGGCCATAATTTTATTGATCGCTAGTTGGTTAGGAGCACATAAAAGGTTTATCAGATGTTTGTTTACATTTTCATAATTTATTACTAGAGTAATTATGCAATAAAAATCCCATTAACAATCTCAAACCCATTAATATTTTATCACGACAATCAAGGGTCAAGTCAAGTACTTCTAAGAACTGTTGACTCAGCAGCTAGCTCATAAAAGTTATATCACTTTTATTCATTTACAACTTCTTTTTTTATTACTAGGGTATTATTATTAGATCCCAAACCTATTTTATCATGAAAATAATAGCTTTATAATGGCTGTTAAATTTCACTTCTTACTTGTACTTTTGGCTTGAAGATTCAATTTGCCGCGGCCAGTGCCTAGTGCCATAAAACTGTTTATGGTTTCATATTAAACATGTAAATAATCTACAGTCTTATTTTGTAAGTTAACCCCCTTTTTAAGGCCTGCTTGGTTTCAAATTATGTCATTGCATTTTCTGTATCTTTGTCTTATATTGTTGGCTATTCAGGTTTCAATGTTTTTTGTTTCCCATATATTTATTTATTGAGTTGTATGCTTTAAGCAATCAAAATCTTATGAACTAGAATGATGATAGTAACTTTGCTGCTATTATAACCTCATTGTTTGTTACTCAGTTTATATAGGCCCTCCTAAATAATTAGGCTTAGGCCTGGGTATTTTGATTCTTGAAAGAGCTGTAAAATATATTAAGAAAATGTAATTGAGCCCAAGATAAACAACTAATGATTGCTATGTGTCGATATTAACTTTACAAATGAAAATACAATAACCTTACTCTGTGCTTATTGCTTATTAATAGCCGCTTACCATACCTTGATTTTGTACTAAGAATTGAGTAACAATATGCATTAAAGATTTTTTTTTTTCAAAAGTAGTCGAGAACCTAACGTTGTGCCAGGGCGGATCATGCCAAATTAATCCGCCTGGATCGGATAAGCTATGTTATGAAGTTTACGTGACGGATGGAGATATTTGTCGCTATCGCAGGAGACAATGATTGCGTTTCTCTGTTACACTATAAAAGCTTTAGGCCTACCTAAAGTATAGGTAGGCCTATGTTTGTTTACTTTCAATAAATTTCTATTTTGTAATTTTTAACTCTTATCTATCATTATTTACTTTTCTCTCTCGTACAACTACAGTGAATAACAAGATTAATACAGTTTGACAAATCAGGAAAATTATTCGGTAGGCCTAATGACACCAACAAAGGTTACGGCAAAGTGTCCTTAAATGTACGGGAATTGTCCATGAATTTTTTATCCAGAATGTAGTAGACACCCTGATATATCCTCGTATAAATAGCATTGAAGTATATTTAATGACTAGCTGTCCCACGGGCTTTGACCTGTTTGACTTCATAAGCATTAATAAAACTATTTATTGTCGTAACGGTCTGGGTTGAATTTTGAGTGGCTTTTCATGGTTACTTCGAAGAACAACATTGGAATTAATAAGCTGTCAGAGAGTATTTGGGCCCTAGGAGAGTATTAAAATAAAAATGACTATCTCCACTAAGCCTGGTGTTATATTGGCTATATTCATGGAAAAAATCAGCTCTATTGGTCAATTAGTTTTCACGTTATTGACTTACTTCTAAATTTCATATCTATAATCTTTCATCCAAATCGTTGACTTGATCAGTAATGCAATCAAATTATTAACTCCCTACTTTGTTTCCCAGACATTATTTTGGACACGATACTTTTTTATAAAAATTAGAAAAAAATAAAGTCAATAAGTTCATGAATTATGCACTTAAAAACAAAATTACCCTATTCACACAATACCACAACAATAGACAATAGACAATTTCTTTATTTACATAATTCATAGAGAATAGTAATGCGTTAACAAATTTTTGATGGTTAACTTAAAACAAAAATTTAGTATTTGACAGTTCTCCTTGTGTATCACAGCTTTTTGTTGCTGCATTGTTCAAATTAGCTGTTACCATAAATTCAAACCAAAATGTAATAGTGCTGCTGCATCCTGTTGGTAAACCTTGTAACTTAATAATGCTGTTATTGAACTTCTTAAAACCAACTTACTAATTGAAACAGCTGGTAAGATTAATTAATTCCTTTTAACCCTCCAAGTGTCCATAGTTTAGGCCTTAATGTCCACCTATTTTTGGCGCATTTGCAAGGTTTTATTAAAACGGATCTGAGAAGCTTAAAACAATGTTAATTCTAATGTTCTATATACCATTTTGTTTGGAAAATCATGGGCTTCAATATTATATATAAAACATAAGGAACATTAAAAAAAAAAATTTTTAGGTAAAAAAAATATAATTTCGAAAATTTTCAAAAAAAAAATAAGTTCGCGCTCAATGAAATTGAATAAATTATAGGCCTATAAATATTTGAAAATAGCCACTTTGTTCTAAATTTTATGAGGATTACAAATATATAATAATATAAGGAAGTAGATTTGCAAATAAATAAGTTATGGGCAAAAAACAGATTTCAGTACATAGCGTTTAGCTAAGAATGCATAGCCTTAACCATAGCTAGGAATCTGGCTGATAATTTACATCAATATCACTACCTACTTCTTCAGGATCATCAACCAGCACTTCAAAACCACTTAAATCTTCTTATAATGCAACACGTATATCACTACTTTTGATTTTTAACACTAAAACAATGATAAACGTAATAAAACACATCAGTCATCGGTCCGAGTAACCTAGCTGTTTACAAATACACGCACGTCAGCTGTCTGCTACAATTACGATCGGCTCAGAGAACGTACAGCGCTGAGACAGACCTCTGGAGAAAGCTTAGAATATTACGGAAAGAACGATACCTAACTCGATCCAGTTCAATCCGATTCAGTCAGTCATAGAGCCTTCGCCGTAAACGATGTCTGCGTGTCGAAAAATCGACAAGTAACACTACACAAAGTGTGCTGCTTGTCGAATTTTCGTCAAGTAACACTGGGAGGGTTAAATATGAAAAATCATAATGTTAACATTGGAAACTCCTGAGCCACTTAGGCAGAGCCCAAAACTCTGGTCAGAATAAAAACTACGTAGTTTTCCTTAATGCCTAAAGAAGCAGTGTACCGTATTTCAGCCTCCTAGGTTAATGGGAAGTAAGAGAATTAGTGATGAGTGAATGAGTCTGTCAGTCAGACAGTCAGTGAGGGCTTTGCATTTTGTGTGTTTCGATTAATTCATAATTGTTTCCAGCTGTTCAGTAATTAATTTGTTAATTAGTTGCTCTATTTTTCAGATATTGATGTTTCCATCACCAACGAGAAGGAAGTTCCTTTGAAAATGGATTTTGTAAAGTTTAAGGGAGAGCCTTATTAGTTGTCTTTTTTTGTATTCTGTAAAATATTGTAAGTAGTGTTAGTATGTTGTAGTGTAAAGCTATTAAAATCGTATTAAAATGAAAAACTGTATTTATAAATTAGAATAGTTATATTGTTCGTGTTTGTAATACTTTAAGTATTACTTTTTTTATTACTTTGTAACCAATGAAATTAATTTCAATTTGTCAAGTCTCACTTCGATTCTATGTTTGAGATGTGTTTGTATCGTGCTAAAAATGTATATGTCAGTATTTGTGAAAAATGTTATGATATTCTACAAAACAGAAATACTTGTACTTGTTTAAAATTGTTGCTAGTCTGTGTGGTTTTGGAAGGCTTGAATAAGCTATGTGACAGACCATTTTTATTATTCCATTTTATAGTTTTGTTATTTGCTGTATAGCTGTGCAAATTTGTCCATCGTTCTATTTGTTTAGGCTATTCAATGCTCACAAATATTTGAACCAGTTAAATTTAAGTTGAGGTGAAATAACCTAAATGAAAAATTGTACAAACAAGTTTGTTGTGTTGATAGATTTATACAAGTTTTGGGAAAATGTTATAGGTTTAATATTGTGTTGTTGTTAGAATGCGGTAGCTTTATTATGAAATGTAAGTACAAAAGCTAAGCGTTATCAATGTATTAATGTTAAATTTGTAAAGTTTTAATTTTATCATCGTAGTTTTAGGATCTTTAAACAAAATAATAACATTGAACAGATTAATGTAAAAGATGTGACTTTTCATTTGAAAATATAATGTTTTTAAATATTTTTATATAATAATGCCGTTAATTCTTTTACACAGTTTGCGTCGCTGTTTTTTTTATGCTCAAGTTCTTAAACGCTTATAAACTCTTTAACAAAGATATATATTTTGTAATGTTCTTTATACTGTAATCCTTCTAAGTTTTTCTACTTTAAATTACCTGAAAGCACAAAAATACGTCAAATAGCACTTATAATAATATATTTACACGTTTACTGTTACTCACAAGACGGTAAATAGATATACAAGATGCGAAGTGGTGATCGATTTCGATTGGATACTTCAATCATCATCAGACCCAATAGGCGAATAAGTGTTATTATTTGACTATTTGTTGTGCTTTCAGGTAATTTAATAACACGTACGATGCTGATCAAAAAGTTATTTACTTTAAATTCCCTTGTAAAACTAATTATCTTCATAGTTCATAGGTATACAAGAATTTTATTATAATGATTGAAAACCCTTAAGTAAAAATTAGTGACACTTTTTGTTTGAATAAGGTACTGATCAGTTATCTGTTTTTTAACTATTGACAAAATAGTTATTGGATATATTCAAGATTATCTTACTCGTCTAATTTTAAGCAATACCCTATGCAGTCTCATTTGAAATATATGAAAACACTAGCTGTGTGCCCGTTCTACGCACGGGGATCTTATAGTAGTCAGTTGAAACCTTCTTATATTAAGATTAAGAACAGCAATTAGTTTGCATATTTGCAGATATGCTGGCAAAACTATTATATATAAACCTTCGCAAATACAGTATCTGACAGTTCAAGCCAAAATAAATGCTTCTCAATTAAATGTCACCCGGATCGTGTGGGTCCGATGTCCAATGATTAAACTAAAAAATGTTTTATAGATCCATGAAGCGTAGCCCTAAAGTAGGCCTATAATTGAAAGTTACTTTCCACATCGGTTAACTTAAACGTAATTAAAGTACTACCTCAACCTCACCATTTAACACTTTATTCCGGTTGACATTTTCAGTATCAAAGGTGCTCTTGTCCATTCCGTGAAACACTGAGAAATAAGGACATTAATGCGTTACCAACAGGCATACACACAACAATCCAAAAAAGGCCACGAACTATTGATACATAAACAATATCAATTCGTAAACAATTCATGATGTACAATAAAAGGTTAAATTACCTGTGTCCGCCAGTCGATCCTTGTGCTGTGTCCTATTACAGGATATGCATTTCGGCAGAATAAACTGCCATCATCAGTCCTAATATAAGTCCTTGTTCTTCCCCATTGGGTGCGTCTTGAAGTTTTGAAACACGTACACGAACGATATTACACTTAAATACATTACGAATAAAACATAAAACACGGTAGGCCTACTTTTATTGAGCTATTACGGACATGTAGACGCGCGTCGGTCGTGTGTCGAGTCTTGACTGGGGTCAGACGTTACTTGCAGAGTTGACCTTTGTCCTGTCTCTGTCCTTTGTAGCTACAGGTGGCGTTTCATTCAACTTTAACAATGCTTCGAATAATATGTTGGATTGTAGTGTACTTTTATCATTCAGGAGGTTGTGGGGGGTTGTTTTAGATGCTCTATAAATTTCATATTGCTCTAGTGATGTCATTATTCGACTTTTTCTACAAATGTGTAAAGGTTTTAAATTTTCATTCAGGCTGGAATAACTGTGATTGCTGTCAATTAGGTGTTCGGCAAAATTGGATTGTTGTGTTAATCCACGGATAAATTGGAACCGTGGATACAATACATCAAATGTATTGTAACTTGTAACTTACTTCTTAATTTGACAACTGCTCTGCATGAAAAATGTTTGACTCTTCCAATACATTTGTAATATGTCTACTGGAAATAAACATGTCTTATGTCTTAAACTATTTTTGGGAAGGTGTTCTTTAAACCTCTTAATAAATGGTCTGCCAGTCTGTCCAATATAGAATTTATTACAGTCACTGCATGTTATTTTGTATACTCCGGATTTATCACTCAGGTTTTTAACATTTTGTTGGGCTCTAGGTTTGAGGAGATTTTGGACTTTATTAGATGTTCTAAACGCTACAGTTTTTCCGTGTTTTTTAAATTCATTTTTCAAAGTTTGGGTGATTTTTTCTCCGTATTCAACTGAGACGAATTCTGTTTTTAATTGAGGCCTTGGATCTGTAGTCTCTTTACTAATTTTCTTTCTATGTCTGCTGATTAATGTGTCAATGATGTTAGGATTAAATCCATTATTGACAGCTATATATTTGATGACATTTCTCTCATTCTCGAAGTTTGCGGTACTAAGTGGTACTGATAGTAATCTATGTACCAAACTATTGTAAGCTGCTAATTTATGTGCTAGGGGGTGGTGGGAGGTTTCATGGATGGTTGTGTCTGTTGCTGTAGGCTTCCTGTATAATAGAACGAAAGTAGAAACCTGATAGTGCTAGAGCGAATGGAAACACTGCTATGGGCCTATTGGCTGTATGGTCTAGCGATTGCATCACACAGTGAGTAGAAACAGAAAGTGACACATTGGAAAAGCGAGTTTAGCACTTCCTCTGTTAAACCTCTGTTACAATCACCCACTGCAGTTGTGATTTTTTACTTTACACTTTACACAACCGCCATTGAAGCGCCGTCAATGAGTGGAAACCTTTTTTGTAAGCTATTGGCGACGATCATTTCAGTGTCACAGCCCTATACAACACTGATTCAAGGTCTTCTTCTTTCTGGTTGTCAAAACTCAAGAAACATTTTATACTCAAAGAATTTTTGGTTCCGATTTGGACGATGTCTAGTTATTTTATTTCATTTACGGTTACACTATTAGACTATATTATTGCACTTGCGATTAATTAAATCCGTTATGTAAGAAAAACGTTTTTAATCTCACTTGGTTGGGATTTGCTTTCAAAACGTGATTCGAAATAGTTGCGGTATTTGTAAACAACATTTGTAAACATGTCATTGACAGCTAGAAAAAATAATCTTGATCCGAACAGCTGTTCGTTATTTCATAGACGATTATGTGATAAAAATTAAACGAAAATTTGACAAAAATCGCACAAAACTGCATTTTTGAACGTCCGTAATTTTATTTACAAAGTAGTGAGGCTATATTTAAATCACTAAAGACACTCTCGCCAATCCAGTGAATACATTAAAATGACTTAGATCTTGATATGTACTCTGGTTTTCACGGAGAAGATTGCGTAAAATGCCATCTTGAGTGTTACAGACAAAGGGACAGACAGACAGACAGAAATTGAGATAAGACTCGTTTCTGCTTCTTTAATGTATAAAACGCAAAAATAACCTAAAAGTATATAATTCTGAGCAATGTACAGACAAAACTCTAATTTTATTTATAGATAAATAGAATATTGTGTTTAAAAGTTTCTGTGGCCAAAACTACCCTGCTCCCCTTTGAATGTGAACACTATACCACTTTTTCATATAGAAGTGATATTTTCATTGAGGTAAATCAGCTGTTGAAAACATGGAAAGATTTTGTCACTTTAAATGGAAACCTGGAATAACATTAACAACCATTCCAGCTGCACTGTTGAGACACCAAAAGTCAATCTCTTTCAAGTCGCCCCTCCATGTCTTAATTCTACCATTTAGCTCAACAGCAAAAATTTGTCAAAACCTCAATCAGCTGCAACATACACTAGGGTGGTCTGCCTGAGCGAAGCATTATTTAAAGATTGTCAATGGCTAAAGCAGCTAACAACCTACAATATGTTCCCTTTCAACAGATTCACCGTTTGTTTGCCCGATATTATTTAAGTTCTAAAGAATGACAAATTTATCTGATAGTTCATTTATTTAGTTAAGAATAAGGATAAGAATTGACAAAAGGTTATTAGACATGTGTATTTGACATTTCGTTTAAACGGTCAAGAGCTTCTTTCTTCTTTGCCCAAGATCCGTGTCTGTTAATTGACATCAATCGGTCTAGTGAAAATGGTGGATCCAGAAGCAGGCATTCAAATGTCTTAACTCTTGATAGGCCTACGTAGGACAAAGCCATATTCTGAAGATCCAATGTCCACAACAGCTTGGTCTACAGTTATACCTTGTGCTTTATGTATTGTTAATGCATACGCTACTTTGAGTGGAAATTGTTTCCTAACACAAGATAGGCTACGTTGGTTTTTTTGAAACTTTGGATAACAATAGGTATTTTGCCTTGATTTAATGTGGGTCCATTATATTTATCAAATTTCACCATAATACATAACGGAATTTCTGACATCGGAATGCGGTATTCTACTATATGCGGTAGAATTTATATTTGTTCTACAATAGTCAGGTCAGTTAATTCGTTCGGGACACTTGACACATCCATATTACGCGAACAAATCGGTGATTGGTTTGAAGCTGTTAGTTGTTGGCGATGACAGTTAGTGCAAGTGTAAAATTTTAGTGCATCTAATTCATGTTTGAATTGATTAGCTAACTGCCTATCATTATCAGCTTCTTCCGCCACTGCTTCGTCTGGTTCTTCTTGTTCACGAGGCCACTCTCTTACAATATTTGCATTATTGGTGCGACGACCAATATTACGACGTGGCCTTTAAAGCACGCTCAAAACAAATATAGCAAAACTGTTACTTCCATTGATAAACTGTTACATTTAAACTTTAACCTAGGATGAAAGTAAACATTGAAATGTAAACAAAACAGTTACAAACAATTAACATATGTTTATCTTATTTAAATGAAACAAGATAAACCCATATGTCATAAGCCCAATATAATTTTTCTTTCAACTTACATTAAAATAACAAGCGAAATTGCGTGACCTGTAACATTATATCCAGAAGGAAATTTGCAAATATTTTTTTACCAAAACATTGTGCTCAGTATTATTTAGCTGTTGGCCAAATTTCATATCAATTGTTCAAGCCATTACATTCTGATGCTCTTACAAAGAAGTTACAAAGTGAGGGAAAGTGAGCTTCGCTTTAAGCAGTAAAGTGTATAATTTTCACTTTATTATTTTTTTAGAATACTAGAGGACACTAAGTTACAGTTTACTAGCTGTACCCGAGGACTTTGCCCCGTTTAACTTCATA